GTCTCTTGACAGTATCTCAGTCAATTCCATCAGAAGTCCCTGCAGGTGTGAGTAGAAACTACGAGTTCAAATCCATCAAAAAGTGGACTCAGGAGTCAAGTCCAGACTCTATTTTAACAATACTGACAGAATTCTCTTAGTCCGTGCAAAGAGCCAATACTCTTTTTGCAAGTAAAAAATAATTCCGAAATAATGCTCGAAAAAAACACTTTTAATAAGAGTTTCTTGCTGGTTGTAATCAGGTTGTTTTTCATTGGAGCAACTCTCGTCATTGGAGCGACATTCCTTTATGGCTATGAACCGCCCAAAAACTCCCAGCTGTCCCTGCCTAAGCCTGTTTGATGTGTTCCCCTCTCATCTGGCACTCTACTTAATCCTTTGGCGATCACTGACGTGAAGAACATTACCCGGCAACCGTAGCTGTGGCAATTGCCATTCAGTTGCTGGAGCAGTTTTTGTTGACTGTGTTCAGCAGAGGACGTCTGTCCATTTCCTTGAGACCAAAAGCTGTAGGTATGGTAGAAGGATTATGAACTTGTAATAGTTATTTTGCATATGCATGGATGCACCGGTTCACCACTCTGCGCTTATTGTCTTCCATTGTACAGTTACTATTTTTCTTGCTACACACTTTTTAATGAAATGTGGGACTGGGTTGGATTCAAACCTGGGCCTTTCAAAGGGAATGGGGGGAAGAGGGTCATGTCTCCCCCCGGAGGAACCCCAATTCTTTTTTTTAAAAGTAACAAAAGGTGATTTTTTGGGTCCATTTCTTTTCCTTCCAAAAGCGTGAACAGTGCCCCCCGAATGTTGCCTTACCTCTCAGAAAGGCCATAAAAGGTTACATGGAAAATTTCCAAATTTTGTCCCCCTCCCGTTACTTGTTCCTGAATCCCCCCTGGGGTCATATGGACGGAATTTGCCAATTTTGCCAATCTGACTTGACCTTGACGTAGCAGGTTTTCCATCAGCGGCAGTTACTGCCTAAAAAACCAGTAGATTGTTTCATGACCTTTACTTCAAAACAAACTTACAACCTTCATATCTTATCAGCGTGTAACAAACTTTACAGTAAGAAAATTACGTCAAGTTGATTCTTATCCACTCGGTGCTGGGTTGCCCAATACCGGGTATCTTGGGTCTGTACGCATTGCCGGGGTGCCCGCTACCAGGTACCTTGGGTCTGTACGCTTTGTACGCATAGCCGGGGTTCCCGGTACCGGGTACCATGAGTCTGTACGCACAACTAGGATTCCCAGTACCAGGTACCTTGGGTTTGTATGCATAGCCGGGGTGCCCGAAATCGGACAAAGGAGTTGGGCCTTGTAACAAAAGACCATACTTGGAACAAAAGACTGAGCTGCTGGGAATTGTCAACATTTTTCAGCACAAAGTGCTGGCATTAGCGAAGGTAATCCATCACTGCTTTGAAACAGTATAGCACTGTTTGCAGCATTCAGTGCCTGCAGATTAGCAGCAGGGACAAAAGTGCTCCATCACTCCAGTGCTCTAGCGATGAGCGATACAAGACTGCTGCATGCAAATCTGGCTGCAGTTGAAAATACACCACTGCCATTCAGCAATGCACTGGGCCAATTTTGGGAACAAAGAAAATTACACAACACTGCACAGTCTGGGCTCTCTTTACTGGGCAGCAGGCCTGGCTGTAATATTCGGGCATTAATGGAGGTTGCCTGTCAGATTAGAGTAGCCACCAGACAGCCATTTGTGTGGGTGTAAATGTCCAGTATTAAAATGAAGTCATGAATTTTTGAAGAATTTTGAAAATGGAGAATCTTAAAAGTCGCCTGAGAACTCACCCTGGACTTGGAAATTCCACCCGGCCGGAAGTGGTTAAACCAGTTTTACTTTTTAATGTTTTGTGCCAACTTCAGAACTTTTAGTTCTTTCTTTACTTTAATTACGTTAGTTTAATTAAATTTGTGATCATGCTGCAGATTTTGTGAGGGTGTTAAATACAATATATAGTCAATATAGTGAGTATTTTTAGGTAAAAAATTTCTTGAAAAAGAAAATTTCAAAAAGTCCAATTTCTTGAAAAAGAGGTCGGAATTTTCATCTCAGATTTTAAAATATTCTTGAAATGAACTCATTAGCTTGGCCTGCAACACAGACAGTAGCTTTGATTGCAGTTTAATATTCATAAGGCAGTATGCTAATCATACCAGTCGGTATTCCATCAAGTCGGACATTTGTAAATAGGAAACACCCTCTTAATGGTCTTGCTCCTGGCTCTACTTACGCAAATCTTATCTAAATAACTTCTTTGGTTCATTTTTAACATAACGGTCATAATATGTGCCATCATGTTGGGAAAAAGAGCGTTGCCAACCGCTTCCTAAATTTGGGTAAAAGATGGCCACCTCCTACAAAATTGTACTCGGTGTTTTGATTACTAGGATATTTATATTGACAGCTGACATGCATAATGTGCATTCTCCTTAACATGCTGCAGTTAGAAGTTTTCAACTAAAAAAAAAAATCAAAATGTTTTAAAGAAACTATCGTTGAGAAATTGTGCCTTTACATTAATATAAAGTTGAGGGACTTAATTTTATGACACTGTTTATGATTTGCTCCGACAATGAACAGTATACACCACAAAGAACGTAAAATTGGATAAGCTTGCATTGAGTACTGATGTCGCTGTGTCGGAATTTCCATGCATGGACAAGCCATGCATATGAATAACCTGATTCCCCATCACATTAAGTTATTCACAGTATAACGTTTCAGGACTGTCATGGTCAAAGTTTCATTTCCGCGCAAGTTAGCATGACTTTTTTGTTGAACATTAAGCAGTGCCATCAAATTGAACCTGGATCTTTTGACATTTGCATGAAGTATTTATTTAATTTTAGATTACCTAGTACTGTTTTAACACAAACACAAGTTTACCATTGGCCAGTGCAACATTGCATAGTAACCTTGACACCCACATGCACTTGTGCAAGTGTAATTACAGCAATATCTTTGACTATTTCTTTTAAGGTAGTCGTAACAGAGAAGAAAGAAATATATACATTTATAGAGATTCCAGATAGCAGTGACACTGCAGTTAACTGTGCTGGTTAATCTAGTTTTGTCTGAACTGAATCACAGTGTGAGCTAGAATTTGAAGGTGCAGTGGGAAGGAACGGGCCAAAAACAACGCACAGTGCTAGATTCTGAAAGTGATGCGGACATACGAAATGAATATCAGGTTCACCACTTTGTGTATCTGACTCCACTGACGAAGTTAGACACACACACACAGATATTTTTAGGATTACTTTTCATATATTTACAATAAAAACAAACCTCTGCCATCTTTTTGTTGCAAAGTGACCTGAAACATCCTATTCTTGGTATCATGACCCCGATGATAGGGGTGAAGATTGGCAAGCCACAGTCATCTCCCATGGTTCATTAATAGCGATCCTAATGGTTTAAACAGTTCATGCAGTGCATTTTTAAATAAGTGTAATTGTTGAAAATGCACCTTTTCAACACACTTTATCCCAAATGGATTCACATGGTCGGCATACAACTGAAGAAAAGTTTTAAGAAAAGTTTTTAAGAAAACCACAGCACCCGGGCCCTTTGAAGAAGGAAGATCCACAGTTAGTGACGTATATTCATTAAATTTATTTTCTTCAGCTTAATAAAAAATAAACACAAAATGTACATGTGCATAAAATGAAACCAAAAAACCTAACAAAAAATCCCTATTTTCTGCCCTTTGCTACTTTAATCCAAAGTCTCTCCAAATGCTTACTATTGCTATTGCCCAATTCTAATGTACTGGGCACTGTATGGCCTCAACTGTCACTGATATTTTCAGTGAGGTACGATGTCCCAGTCTTGTTCAAGTCCAGAGTGAGCTACTGGCTTGGGAAGGCTCATGAAGGCTCCTTGCGGAGAACACTAGGCCAAGGGGGTGGTACATAGTATTCAAACCTTACGTATATATTCGGTGTGATTGGTCGATCAGCATGATTGCATTGTGCTATCGGTCAATCCTGTAAGAACCTCTTCCCCTTTTTCCAAACAGTCCTCCACAACTGCGTATTAAAAAGAGGCAATTGGCGGATGGTAGATTTATCAGTTAATCATGCAGTAAGATCAGCAGATCTGCAGCACAAAAATCAAGTGATCACACAAATCAACTAATCGCACCCAACATGTAAAAAAAGAACCACCGCACAATATATGACTCATTTTGAAGGAGTAGGTGACATAGATGCAGGCAACTTTCACCAAACTCAGTATGTCATAATCCTTCGATTCAGTAGCCTTTCCATCTCCATATTAAGTTGAATTAATCTGAGTGTATGAATGCACGCATAGTAAATTAACTCTACACTCCAAACACACAATTATGGCACTGAAACCTTAACCAACTAAAAGCACCAAGGTACACAAACACAATGCATTACAAAAATAAATTATTTCTGTTCAGTAGAAGTCTTACTCGGAAATGAATTAGAGACAAGCACCCATGAAACGAGTTGTTCGTGTCTCGGCATTTTTTGGTGGGGAATTTCATTCGCAACACATTTTTACATAAAAGATATATACAGGATTGATGCTTTCACAGTGCTGGTCTCTTTGCAGTGTTGCAGTCAGAAGAAACCTTCATAAATATTTTCAATGAGCAAAATTTGGGTTCACAATTTGAACAGAAAAAATTGATCAACAATACAGCAACAGTACCCTCTTTTGTCCAGAAAAGCTTCAGAATTAAAAAAATTTTCAAGCAGATTCCAGACACTTGAATCTATCCTAGAATATTGAAATACCTTTTTAAAAACAAATATGAATATGCCAAGATAGTTTTCTTTGTAATAGTGATGTACTGGTGCAAACTTTGTTGAAATACATATGATGAAACCTTCATGACAATATTTAATTTGAAATTGAATGGAGGGAGGTCTGAAGAGGAAGATGGCCGCCTCAGACAAAATTGTCAGTAGTTTCTCGGTGATCATACTGTTGTAGTGTCGGAGACATTCTTTGAATAGCAACATTATTAAATCTTTGCTAAATCGTGGCTTGAGATAGTCCCAAAAGTGTGAGAAGCTATTATGGTGATTATAATGTACAATTGCGTGTGTTATTGCGACTGATTTTGTACAAGGGTTTGCTCACTACCGGCCAGTACGACTGAGTATTCCAATATTCGATTGAATAGAAGGTCGAATATTTGTAGTCAGTTATTCAAATTGACTCAGTCTTAGAGTGAACTTATCAATCCATGGCTAGCACAATCAAACAGGTAACTTTAAACTATTGTAGATCCTAGTCATATACATAACCACAAAAAGACAAAAAAGAAAACCCAAAGCAAGACTAAGCAACCCTTTCCACTGACACACTTTCAAAATGCTTTGCATCTGGAAGTGGAAACTAGAGAAAGGTACAGGAGCGAAAGGCGTTAAATGGATGCAGATAGAGAATAAACAGACACATGTACATACAGAAAGACTGCCGAACTTTAAGTTAAGTACAATGTATATATGGAACGACAACTGAAGTCAGTGTTGTATTCAAGTCCAGTATTAGAGTCCAGTCACAAGTTCCTTCTCATGGCTAGTCATAAGTAAAAGGTGAACAATGACAAAGGAATGCTTTTGTTACAGCTCATTTGAATAGCTTTGAATTGGCTGAAGACGGAATGACTTGTGATGGACTAGTGATGGACTTGTGACGGACTTTGAGGGACTTGTGATGGACTTGAATACAACACTGGCCCAACTATACATTATGTATAATGTACAGATGGAAAGACTGCCTAACTCCACAAATGCAAAAATGTGTTAGCAGATGTGCAGATAATGCATCTGAAAAGTAGTTGCTACCACAAAATCTAACAAGTGTTTCTCTGCTGGTGTGTTCTATAACACATGAGAATGAGGATGTTCTGCTCTGGAAAGTGTGTTTTGAGGAATTCTTTAATCCTCATCACTGCTATCGCTTGCATCAGAGTCAGAAGATGATGAGGAACTGGATGCAGTGTCTGAGGCATCGGAGTCGTCAGAGTCACCTGTGACGAGAGGAAGAGCAGTTACAAATGTTGAGAAGCTGAATGATTGGAATGAGATGTGGCAGCTCTGTAGAAAGTGGAGACTGTTCAAGAAAAAAGAGGGGAAGTGCATGAAGGTGCAATTAATCTTGAGATTTTAATCTTTGGTAAGCACATTACACTTAGTGCTGTCTGAATCAAATTTCACGAAAGAAATTCAGGACTCAAATTCATGACCTGGTTACTATAGCTTTTTAATCCTATACAGCAGTAGGTACCAACAATAACTTGTGAGGAAATTCCGCACTGAGGAGATGTAGTTTTCATTTGATCAAATACAACAAATCAAACTTTTCTATGGAATATAAATTCATTCCACAGAACCAGTATGTTTGTGGTCTTGAATTCATATTCACATCTCTTTTCAATAAAGCAGATCATCCGTTCAGAAGAAATCAAATCTTTCTCTTTTCACAAGACGTTCTCTGCACCTTGTTCTTGATCTGTGGCAGAGCTGAGCACACTTTCATGTAGTGGCAACATTGCAGCAGATGTTCCTTCATTGTTTTGGTCAGCCCTGCCGTAGAGTACATCATGCAGGAGTTCTGGTGAAACTTTCACTGAAAGAAAGTAACACTAGGTAATGAAAAACAGCATTATGTGGGTGTTAGGAATAATGGAAAAAAACCTACATTCTCCAGGCTTTAACCACTAGGAATGTAATACATCTTGAAAAATACATCTTGAAAACACTAATGTGTGTGTTTGAGGGAAGTTTTGCTAAACTACCCACTGAACATTTTGGTATTAATACAAATGTTCAGTTGACTGAACATCTGATCAACTTTAAGGCTAGTTCATACTTCGGGCAAATGTGAAAGTGACACAAATTCGACATCACAAAACGTTTGCAGCAATATTCGCTTGAGTTGAAACGTGCTCAACACTTGCAAATTCAGAGCATGAGCGTTTTGTTGCATATCTGATGAACCGGCAAATCTACTGTTCGGGTGATCTTAAGATTTTATCACACAATCTGACGAATAGGTTTGACAGCAGTATTCAAAGTATTGCTCATAGAGCCAAAAATACAAATTAGGCAATGATTTCAAAAGACCAATTTGGTATCTTTTAAACTCAGACATGAAAAGAGGGTGGAGTGAAATATCGAAAATGACACACAATAACTACTTAACTGAACACATGTTTTTCTCGAAAACGGTGACATTTCATATCCGTCGGTTCGTCAGATATGCGACGATTTGATCTGATGTCGCAAGACTTCGTTGGTGTTTGTTTCTTTGTTAAGTATGAACCGGTTTTGCTGTGGTAGAATAAATGTTATTTTCTAGAAGTCTTTTACATGAACAGGCAAATAAATTCTTTTGAACTGCCTATTGAATTGATCATTGCAACTGAGTTTTGACTGGAAAGCTTAGTTCAGAATGTGTTTTAACTTACGTGGCTTGCGACTGGACGGATTGATAAGTTTGGCTGCCTTGACATCATTGTAGTCCATGTCCTCATTGGTTCCTCCAAAAATATACAGCTGGTGGAAAGAGTCAGCAATCAACACCATCATTTTCAAGCAAGTGCAAAAATATGTAAAATCACAAACCCACATGAACTGGTTTGAATTCGACAGTGCTTTCACAGTAAAGTCCACTATCATACACATCTACACTAATAAATGACGTGCTTCTTCCCTTTAAAACAGACAACACACTTAAAAGTTATGTTTCTTCTCATGGTTCATTCAAGAAGACATGTTTGTCCTCTGCTGAGTGAACACTTACATGATTGAGGTACGTGCAGGCCACATGCCCAAAGCGTCGGCAAGGAGGGTTGCCTGAGTAGAACGGCCTCTTCCACTTCATCTTGGCTGGACAAAAGAAATTGGAGTAACATTCAAACTGAGTTGGAGAGAAAAAACTTCCAAAGATTGAGCTTTCACAAATACTCATACATGTCGTCGTGTTAACGAAGTAGCAGAGAAGGGCTGTTTGGGCACACTTTGAGTTGTGAAAACTGAATGATGTTGATTTTACACACTGACCCGAAGGTATGTAAGCTCATTGTGAACACTGATGTGTAATTTAAATATTTCGGTGTTCACGAACAAACATTCCCACAAAAGTGCTTTAAATACACCCTCACTGCATCCATTTACTTATATGGTAGCATTTAGATAAAGACCTTCCTTACTTGGAAAATTAAGAAAAGTTTCAGCTTTTGAAAATAAATACACCTGTAGATACATGTACTTGTGTGTCGGTTTGTGAAAACAAAAATTATGGGAACTGTAAATTGTCTATGCAGGGAGCACACATTTTGTTAAGTCAGTAACAATACACTCACAAAGTAAGGCTGATTAAAATGAATTCCTTGTTTATCATCACTCATAGTTATATTTTTGGGGCGGGAAGACCTTTGATATTTTATATTTCAGGTCAGTATTTTTCCAGACTGTTCAGATAGCCTAAAAATACCATTCTTGTATTTTACTACTTGAGTGTTTCATTTATCATAATAGCATGATAGATCGATCGACCATGGTTGAGGGCACGACTAAAGATTAAAAAAAATAGGACACCATTTTTTGGTGCAGACACATCTGCAAGGTCAAAAAGGGCTGGAAATTCGTTAAAAACTTGGAAATATCAAATATAAAAAGGTTGTGGCATTAGGGAACATCCAGTTGGGTGATGATGATAAACAAGGAATTAATTTTGATTGGCTTAATGTGTGTGCGTACAGAGCATAATGCAGGTATTTTCGAGAAAGTAAATTGAAAATGGATCTTTTCAAATGCTTCGAAAACATACATCGATATTGAAATTAAATTGAAAATATTGACTTCATTTTGCAATTAATCCACATTTAGTAATGTCAAACACAACATTAATTCACATTAAAATTTACACAGTTTTATGGTGACGGTAAACTGTTGCCACACTGAGTGATTTCCTCACCAAGACTCAATTTGTGGAGGTCACCGAGTGTTGTCTTGCCTTTCAGGCCATCGTTGGACCCTCCAAAGACATAGATATCCTGCCATCAGAAGGAAAAATTTGTCACTACATAAACTTTGGCTTCCTTGGCCGTCATTTCACTAGCATGGAAAGGTTGAAGTCTTCTTTGATAATGTGGAATGTACTGCCCAGATGAAAGGTATTAATGGCTCTCAAAGATCAACATCGGGATTAAGATCCACACAGAATCTCTTCCAGATTTGTTTAGTAAGCCGCTTCCCTTCAACTCCATAATTTTGCTGAGTAAACAACACCAAGAAACCATAACTGTGTTTTCAAACTCTGCACACAAGAATAGAGTTGTCCTTGAAGATGTCTTAATCCCACAAAGAGGGAATACTCCCCATCATCCTTTGGTGACTATGGGCTAATACCACAGAAGCCAATCAAGGCCTGAGTACGAGGGATTCATGGCGAGAACGAGTGGCTTCTCCAGATCAGATTAAATTTAATCCTGTCAAATACAGATGACTGTGAAATGCCTTTCAAGACAGAATTAAGGAGGTCCAGTATTTGAGGGCCACACTGAACCAGTATGATAAGAAATTCTTTTGAAGAAGAGGTAATACTCTCCGACTCTAAATTAAGATCATGTTATCCCTAGCTCTCTTGATGGAATTAGGTTTCCTGACTTTAGTAATTTTACTAAAACAGTAAATAACAAATAAATAATTAGCAGAATAGAAGACACTGGCCCAGGTATTAGGCAAACAGGGATACTTGGAAAAGAACATGTAAATTCATTCAAGTTGAGTATTATGAATGAAACGGTTTATACAATACGATACTAATTTGAGAAAAGTGACAAACAAGCAAATTTCCGAATTAAACACGAAAAAACAAAAACTATCACACTTTTCTCCTACAGATTAACTAGAGAAGCACTCTTAGATTGACAGTACATGAGGTATCCTTTTTACCCCCCAACAAAAACCCCAAACAAAACAAAAACCCCAAAACTCCAATCCTTATTTCAAGCACGATTCTCAGTAGTGTCAGTGAAGCACAAGAGCGAGGTGGCAATGTGTGTTCCACTGAAAATTCGAGATTATGACGGCTAAGAGCAAGTTTTCTTTTCAATTTCCCTAGAGTTAGCCACATCATGTTTATGCAAAATGTAAATAAATAGTTCTGGGAATATGCAAATGAACAAACACAAACATATTTAGGAACTGACCTTGTCAGCATGGAGGGTCAAACTATGACATCCCCTGGGTGGGGGTGGATCTCCCCTAACTGGTGGGGAGGACCACTGCAGAGAATCTGTTAACAAAAAGAAACAAGTTCGGATCCTTACACTGACAATAAGATTCACTCTATAGGTCAATTGTTCATCTTTATTATTATGCATGTATGTAAACATCTAGTCAGTTTCCATAAGTGATTGGATGATTTATATGGGGTCTCGCTCGTTCCAGTTGTTCTGCAGCCTGACATCCCATCTACCTGTGTCCAGTGCATGAAGATCATTGAAACATTTGTTCTGGCCTCCACATCCACCAAACAGGTAGATGCTACGGCCAACAGGCATCAGTCTGTGGTCACACCTAAGGAAACAAACAAATGGAAAGTTCAGATCAAAAAACCAAGATGCACTCTAAAGCCTAGTGTCATTTGAAAAATGTTAAATTAATACATACATGTACATGTATATATGCCTTGAGGCTACATCAGGGTGAAAAATTAAAAAGCACTGTTGTTAATGAGTAATGTTTCTTGAATAATCAGGTGATAAAAGTGCATGCGAACCAGAGAGGTAAATAGTGCTCTTACTTCAAATAAAATGGAAGAAATAAGACCAATATGAACCAGTTGCGGACATAAACTGTGAGTGCATGGGACATGATGGCAAGGAGGCTATATACCAAAAGTGTATAATGCTCATGCTTGTTAACAGCGAGTAACATCTATCATTTGGTTCCATGCACAAGTATTTCACCCGTCATCAGAGGTGATATAGAGACAGGGGTAATATCATATACCACTGGGCTGACAACATGCCCTGTGCCCATGTGAAGACACTACAAATATGCCATAAATGGTTTTGTCTACTCTGTACAAGTGGACATGCATGGTGTATGTGCTCAAGAAGAAACCGTCCTTGGCTGAAAACTCTCTCTTATGCACAAACCCCCATCAATCACCCTGTATGAAATGCTTGCTAGTCAACAAATGAATCCTAAATCATTGGCATGAATGTAACTGTAATCTTTGACAGTGGCGAGTGAGAGGGGGAGGGTTTGGTCAACCCCACACAACTAGAAATTTTGAAAAAAAAGAAAGAACCCAAAAACAAAAAACAACCAAAAACTGATAATTACGATTATTAAGAATACACTAATGCGGCCCCACTGAACCATCCTATCACCCAACTTGCCCCCTACAGTGAGCACCCTGGCTACACTGCTGATCTATGCCAAACTGTAAGTCAGTATCACATCCTACCTAGGTGCGGGTGGCAGACCCGTGACAGACAATCGAGTCCATGTGCTTGTCTCTGTGTTGTAATGTGAGATGAAAAATGGTGTGACGGTCAGAATGTGTCACAAATGAGAAATAACATGCGTGGTCATACAACTTTTCAAAAGTCACACGTACAAAAGGCACTCTTCAAAGAACACGGTACAAATTCTTTAAAAACCTACTCTTGAGGCCAAACTGGCCTTTATTCTTTCTTACAAATGCATGAAGTTACTGTCTGGTTGAATTTTAGTGTTGTGATAATGTGAATCAACACTTTTAACAGGAATCAAACCTCCTGATGACAAGTGCACATATCTTAACCACACAGCTACCAATACAATCAACCACAAATAGTTTAGCTAGCAAATTTGAAATTTGACCCTGATGATACTGCAATAATTACATGCCACAGTTGTTGTTAATCATGCCTATTTTATGAGGGAGGGTTGTAGTTGAATTTTAATACTCTTGTAGTGTACTTTTGTACACTTGCTCTCCTATTTTTTTTCCAGTTTCTTATAAGTCTTGAGCATGGTCCCCAATATTTATATTATAGTGCTTTTATTTGATTGCATAGATGTGGATATTGTCCTTGTTTTAGGATGTGAATGTAATTTTCATATACTATTTTATAGTGGTCGAGGTTGCAATTCTTAAACAGTTTTGTGGTCAGTTGTCCAGTTCGATAATTCCAGCTCGAGATTTCATTTTTACATTTTATAAAATTTTAAGGTAATAATTTGTTTAGCTTATGCTGAGCTGATTTAACCCAGAATAGTCAAGAATAAATAAATTAATGATAGGTTTTTGAGTGAGAGTGAAACAACACTCAGAGTAACACAAAGGCTTACCAGTGTCTAGGACATCCACATTGCAATGCGCCTCACCCTTGTATATTCCACCAATCACAAAAATCCTCTTGTCAACGACAGCCCAACCAGGGTTCAATGACCTTGGCTCCACCCCATGCGTCTGTATGTGCTTCCAGTTGCAAGATTCTAGAAATAACAAAAGAGTTTTTCTTTCCATTTAAGGCAAACGGTTTATTTCAAAAGCCACAGAATATTTTTGTTTTTTCAAATAAGAAGCCAGAATTTTGTCTTGAAGCGGCTGGAAATTTATGATGTTACGTTCAAAGAATTTTGCTTACTTGTACTGAATGCATGCAACCCAGGTAAGCATTCATCAGCATTCATTTCATTTCTGCCTCCAAACACATATAATGTGGTTTCAATGGCACTGCAGAGAAAGAAAACAACGGTGTACACAATTCTGAAACCATTCAATTCAAAAAGCACAATTCTGACAACAATATTAAGTATATTACCATTTGTTTTTATTCAAAAACAACAATGCAATACTGAGACAACAAAGGAAGGCCTTGTTTTTTAGATGTGGGACAAAATCCCCCATATGTAATTCCTCGGGAAATCTCATGTGATCAAATAGCAATTGCAAACCTAGTCCACATGGTTTAATGAGCAGGATTTGAACTACTAGCCAACTGTCATGAAAATATGATCATCCTTTTGTGCCCCCGTTCAATGATTCATTCACAGCATCATTTACATATCAGATGATCTTACCACAAAGCGTGGTCATGGCGACCCATCGGAGCATCCCCTGTGTATCTGATCTTCTCCCATCTCAAGATTTTGCCAACTATTACAGTTGAAAGAAAGGAAGAATAAATTACAACTATATAAAAACAAGATAACTGAAAACATCCATCCAAGAGATGATCAAACTTGTCATTCAAAGAAATGTTGATGATTAAGGCTTAATGAATCACACATTCAAGTGCAACATAAAAAAAATTCCACTCAACACATGAGAAACTTTTAAAGAGATCAACTTATCCTATAGAAAATCTTTTCTGAAAAACAGTACAACATACTTACAGTGCAGCTTGTGTAAATCTCTGAAGTAGAAGATTCCCTGCAAAATGTGGCAGAAACAACATGTTGCAAGAGTACATTGAGAGAGTAAGCGAGGAATTGCCATTTCTAATTTCACTATTTCTACTTATACTTGTGGACGTACTGATAGGGGAGAACATCTTGCCGACAAGTGCAAGGAACCAGAAGCAGAGCTAAACTTGATTTCCAAGCACAACAAACGTTTAGTGCAATGAAAAGGGTTAGCTCTCACATCAAGTTGCAGTAAGGTCACTGTGCTCCCATTGTTTTCTTTCTCATTTTTTCAATGAAAGGATTCTGTTCAAAAACTGTTCAGACAAATGTTTCTATACCTTTTCTGGTTCCTCTACACATCGGATTCCCCCAAAGATGTAGGCAGCATTGTCAAGGACAGCAATCGCATGTCCTTGCCTGTAACAAGAAAAACAACCGTTGAAAGTTCACACAGAACTTTTTCATTTTTTATATCTAAAAGAAGGTATATATGATATGTACTTGTTTTTGTACATTTTAATGCAAATCTCAGTCATATGAGCTGTTTCTCTTTAGTCATACAACTTTAAAGTACAAACTTTACTGATTATCTCAAAGATCCAACAAAATATAAAAAATATGGTCTGAAAACTTAAAAGATAGATTTATGTGGTATTTATCTCCCCACGGATATTACAGCAGCGAATAAGGACCTCCCCCCCCAAGTATTGAAATCACCACTTTCCCTTTATAGTAAAAAAGTAATGAATAAACATGAATACATCTGCACAACACCAAGTAAAACTAAATTTCTTCTGATGAAGAGCAAGATTATTTGAAGAATTCCAGGTCTCCACTCTGTGTGTAGTGACACAGAGTTCTTCAAGATTGAGATCAGCCAAGTTTTTTTTGATTGTGGATTTTAAAACTCTAAAAGTGTTCCCCTGATTTGTTCAGCTATACAACATGTTGATTATCAGTCTAAATCAATAAATCGATCCAAAATCACTGGAATGCTAATCTGACATTCTGATTGTGTGGTAAACATCAGACGATAATTCCTCTGTCAATAAGCGGCACTAAAAGAGTAGCGTACGGCCACTTACCTGGGTGACGGCGGGCGACCTGTGAACTCCTTTCCCGCTATCCACTTCAAACTCACTAGTGTGAGAGCCATACTCACTCAGAAGTTGTGATTACAAAATGCATTCTGCACATCCAAAGAAAATTGTTTTCTCCTCTCCAGAAACTGTTTGAATACAGGCCCTATATCATACCACAGCAGATCTCTGCGTGAACAAATACGACGCAGATTGTACTGTAGTTATCTTGCTCAAGATTTATCCAAGCCAAAACTCAGTTAACAACGGGCGAAACGCTTGCGTCGGACATCGAACACTCCTTTGCTATATATCAGTATATTCAGACGAATTTCAATTCCATTCCGAATACAGCCGATTACTTATTCAATAAATGTCAAACGTGTTCAAACAGTCCTCTCCGTGCAAACGACTGTGTTAATATGATGATTTAATCAATAAGCATAAACAGTTTGTACAGAAACTATTGTACCATGGATTTTGTTCAGATAATTTCGTGCAGTAGTTACTCGTTGCCAAGGAAGCCAACCATAAAGGCCACTTCCGGCAAGAGAGCTCATACAGTCCGAAGACCCCCGTTCAACATATTTTCTCGCAGGTGCATCGCCAATCAATTACGTGCAATGAATATTCATAAGTAAAAATATTAACGTACTTTTAATGTTCTAAATGTTACTTGAAATCCCAAAATAAAAACAAAATTTAAACTTTGAAAATTATTTTAAGGTTAAATTATTATTTTTAATATGGAAAAGATATAAATGTTTATTTCTCTTAAAATTGAGGTTAGGTGAGTGTTACATACGTTGAACAAGGTCAAAAATGGCGCTGCTTTTTGATTGAACAATTTCCAACGCGGCAGTCTACAACTAGCCTAGAAAAAAACTGCCACAAAGTCCTGTTTTTCATTCATTTTCTTTATGGTGACTTATCATCTATCTGTCTTTAGCGTGCTTTAATTTAATTTCTTCCATCCTTCCTATTTTTTGAATGCCTGTGAAGATTAACTCGAGTCATGGCTGACGAAAACATTATTCTCGATACAGATACCGTGCGCAAGGTAATTCATGTCCTTCCTATCCTCCATGGGTAATTATTGTCTCAATAAACCTTTTCGACGTTCGCAATGCATTATGGGTGTGGATGACAAACAAGCAATGCACAACCCTATGGGGGAAGTGAACCAGTCAAAAATCAAGTTACAGTTTTCTATTAAGTATTTTTTATGTATCTGCTCATCAACTTGGAGACATGACAGATGCATGCCTATTTATCATCAGATTATACAAGAAACATTTCCAAATACGTTTCCAAATATTTGTAAGAACAAATCACCCTCAATTTCCTTTTTTGAAGGGCACCAGTCACTCTGCAGGCTGAAAATGAACGTGACTGGTCAAAGCGGGATGAATGAGCTGCAAGTTGTAATTTTGATTGGACAATACTAGAACATTAATATTCACAAATTAGTCAAAGCACGGTCCATGACAAAAAGTGGTGGTGTTAGAAGGAATTCTCTGAATTTTCCTTCTCTGCCAAGCTAACTTCGAAGTTTGTGAATATCTTCGTCCCAAATCAATAATGCAACACTTTGTCAGGGGGGTGGCTTGAATTGGAGTGTGAAATAAAATGGAAACAGATTAATGTTTTGCAGGTACACTTCTCCCATAGGGTTGTGCATAAAATGCATTGCATGTATGTCGTCCAAACCCACAATGCATTGCGAACGTTGAAAAGGTTTATTCTCGTGATCAGAGATTGTTCCATTTATGACACTCGTGTCTGGGCAAAGGAGCAACTCTCCATCCAGTTTGTACTTTGTATATTGTTTATGCATGTTTTCCTCATTTCTTCCAGCAACATGATCAAAATAACTGAAACGTTTTCGGTACAGTGTGGGAGATATTCATAAACCATAGCACATAGTGACATTTCAGGCACATCTGATGTTAGCCCCAGACTGGGGGCCAGTCTACTGGACTCCCTCCATATCCTTGGCCCCACATGGTCAATCCAAAAAGTGCTGACTCTGCAAAAACGCCTTTTATGAAATCCCTTTTGTGTGTATGGATCACTCACCCCATCAAGCCACCGATGTATTACTTTGGGGAATTTCTAGTTTGTAAAATTGTAGAAGTCTGTGAAGTTGTGGTTGATTTGGACCTTTCCTTTACTACAGGGATTAACTCCAGATCGTTGACCAATGCCAAACACAGTCAGGGTCTGTTTGATCTGGGAACCAGACAGCGGAAGAGATTTTGTCTTGTTTTTTTGTTTTTTGCCGATTGGGTTGGGGCCAAGGATATGAAGGAGTCCAGTATCTTGACAGCATAGTGTGACCATGTGGGTCTTGTATGTTTGACGTTGGAGTTGGACTGGTCATTGATTTCCACCTAAATACATGTACTTCCACTTCCTGTGTGTCTTGGGCCTCAGTGTCACCCATGGTGAAATTCTGAACTCAAAATGCTCTCTTTTTTTCCTTTCAGAAACCGCAAGACACAGCAGATGACCTGAAATTCCATGGTAAATTTGATTTCCACACTTGTCCACTTTAATTTTCACACTTTTAGGTCAACTTTGCATGTGAATTTGATTTACTACAAAACAGATACTACTGTAAGGGAAAGTTTTCAAACAGGAAAATAAGAGCTGGACTTAGACAAACCCTGGTCTTTACGGTGAGAGGAGATAATACATGTAGATTGTAGCCTTTTGCCCGTAATATCCATGCAGTTTTCCAGCCCAAAGTTAGTCTTTGTTCGCTTTGTGCGTGTGCATGTTTTATAGATTTTACAGATTCCCAGTTGCTGGATGACATTGGAGATGAGGAAGGACAAACTATCACATTCACCAACCACCCGAGTGACAATGAGGAGGAAGGTGACGACACAGAGGTCAGGGGTCAACTAGGGTCAAATGCCAATTTGTCTTGTTGCATAACTTCTCACTTCATGTTGAAACTCTTCCAAAAGGCTGGAATACCCTTCTTACCCTTGATAGCTGCCAGTATTTTTTTGCTCAACTTTTGCTTGTAATAAAACTTTAAATGTTGAAAGACTTATCAGTATTGGCAAGAAGTAGTAAGGTAGAGTTTGGTGTAATTCAAATTTAAAAAAAAGAAATTGGAATCAAGAATAAATTTTATGCAAAGTTCTATATTGTCCTATATACATCTTGCAAAATATCCCTTGAAAATGGCATAGGATGGCTTGGTGATTTAATTCATCAGTCTGTTGCCAGAGGAAGTTCTCTGTACTTTATCTTTTGCTTTTGTTCAGAGCTGCGAAAAAAGACAATCTTTTTGTGGTAAGTTTCTATGGGATTTAATATACCTCACACCAGCGACTATCATTGAAAACTGCTTGGCTCAGCAAGATGCCTGAAGAAAATAATGATAGTAACTTACAACGTTCACTTAGCCAGGAACCTGATTAATACACCATACATGTACATCATGATTAATGTCCCTGCTCACTGGGCCCATGAACCAACTTGGCTCCCTCAAGGGGGTTGTACAGCTAGGTGCTACCATTTCTGGCATAAACAAGCCAATCAAACACAACAACCATCTCTACCCCCTGCAGGCACACTGTACCCATTTATACTCCATAGTGGTGACTGGTAATTGGGAATAAAGTGACTTGCCTGAGGTCACAAGTAACCAGTACCCAACCCCGCAAGCCTATATGTTCATGAGTCAACAGACCTGAGGCCAAAGGCCTCCAAGAGAACCATTAAATTAAATTTTCTCTCTTTTTCTTCCTCCTTTTCAGCTCCTTTCTGGCCAGAAGAAACAACATTCCTTCTGGACCTTTGAGTACTACCAACAGTTCTTTGACGTTGATACGTCGCAGGTTTTGTGGAGACTCCTGGGTTCCTTTGTGCCCAAACCAACGACCAACTACCTGCAGACACAGATAAGACCCAACCCTGATCTCTATGGTAAGTACAAAGCCCTGACTCATTGTTTTTTACATTGGAAAATAGCTAGTGACATAATTTGTCTGATGGCATTTAACTGTAGGATCAAACAGTAACACTATTATATGACCCTGAACTTAAAATGTGACGTTTGAAATTAGAAAATGCAGAGAATGTTTTATATTCATTGTCGAATGTAAATTTTGTTTCTGCTTTTGTGGGAATTTGGTACGTCCACTTAATTCTTGGGATTGGCTCAGCCCTAGTCCATTTTTCTCTTCTTGCTTTAAATTGTCAGGTCCCTTCTGGGTGTGTGCAACGCTGGTCTTCACCATTGCGATCAGCGGAGACATGGCCGACTACATCGCACACCGCAACCAGGCACCCTACCCATGGCATGCACATTTCTCTAATGGTAAGCTTTCATTTAGTATCGGAGTGGTCCCCCCTTAGTTGTCTGTATTTTGTAGATTGCACTCTCTGTGTAATTTTATACTCTTCTCCAGTGTGTGAACACCATCTGACATCCTTTTTAGGTTAGGTATATTGAAAAGTGCATAGTTGAGTCCATGCTTTTATGTACAGGCATATGTTTTTCATAACGGATGAGACAGTTTGTGTTTAACAAAATGGTTCATTTTGATTAATTACTTTTGTTATTGTGTCAGTGTTGTAATATGTTTCGGTGGTTTTAGTCCGTTAGGGTTTGCTGCAATGACACAAGTCTAATAACGACTCCAAGGCGCTAGAGGAAGAGAACTCGTAGAGCTGCTTTGCAGAAAATCTTTCTCAACAGAAAATTCTGCGCCTAGCAATAATTAGCACGGTACTTGTCTCCAAGCAATGCATACATATACATGCCATGACTTTCGGGCTTCAACAGCTCTGGGCATAGTTGGAGAGAGCCTCTCCATGATATTTATGAATATAAGTAATAACTATTGACTTGCTTTCTCATATATTACAGTGACCACAGCCGGTGTGGTGATCTTTCTGTACGCTTGGCTGGTTCCCGCTGCCTTCTATGCATTCCTACACTGGCGTGGCAACCATGCAGGGTACACGTTTCTTGAGTTGGCCTGTCTCTACGGTTACTCTTTCACGATCTACATTCCAATTTCGGTAGGTCCATATTAGAGCATCCCTCGCAACATTTGCCACTCATGAATGATCCATCTCCATGGCATCCCCTGAAGTGTTACCCACAAAGGAATTTTGGGAGGGGGAAACCATCCTAAAATATACTGCCCTGCTGAAAAATTGTTACATTTCCTGTTTGGCAATTTGACAATCTAAAAAGCATTGTCCAAGTTTCTTTTTCAAGACAAACCTGATATGATTTGAACCAACAGAATGATATTTGACCGCTTTACATCGGGGTACCCAGTATTGGAGACACAGTGCGTGGCCCACGAGACCGGGGTGCCTGAAATCGGAGCTTTCTTAAAAAAATAAATAAATTTGCTGGGCATTTTTAGAAAGGTTTACTTGCTGTCAGTAAAATGCTTGGGCCATCAGAGAAGGTAATTCCATCATTGATTTGCAACAATGGGTTCACTGGACCAGAAAACTTGGTCTTTATTCACTTGGAAACAAAAGACCGAGCTGCTGGGACTTGGCGGTGAATGTTTGCACACTGTCAGTGCAGAGTGCTGGCCATTAGCAGAGGTAATCTGTCATTGAAATACGGCTTTTGCCCTTACCCCACATATATTTATATTTAAATAATCCGTCATTGTTTTGAAACAGGATCATTGTTTGCCACTGCCTGCGCCAGTGGATTTGCAGCGTGGACAAAAGTTCGTGCTCCAGCGATTAGCAATACAATACTTATGAGCGCTCGTGGAATCTGGCCACATTGTGCAGCATTCACTGTGCCCGTGTGCCTGTTGAATGGCCCGGTTCAGTCTCATGGCCCATGTGCTCTGCATAGCAACACCGGCCGTCCAGCATAGCTATGCACTGGGCTAATTCCCGAAACAAAGAGGAAATTATGCGACACCACATAATGGGGGCTCTTTAATTGGCAGCATGCGTGGCTGTAATGCTCATGCATCAATGGAGGTTGCCTGTCAGATTAGAGTCGACACAGGACAGTCATTCTTTTGGGTGTACGCATGCAGTGAATGAAGATATGAATTTTTGAAGAATTTTGAAAATGGAAAAAAATGAAAAAGCGCCCAGCCCAGCAGCCTGAACATCAAAAACTTGCCAGCAGGAAGTGGTTAAGACCATATTTTCTGTAATTCTGTTTTTGTCTGCATCAAAAAAAACAAAACTGAGGTTTGATTTAATTTATCACTCCTGAAGAAAATATATATTTTTAGGGTAAAAATGTTGAAGGTTCCTGTTGATATTTAGTGCGTAAGATCCCTTTCATGCCTACTGACCCAAAGGTGACTCTGGAGTCACCTGTGATTAAATGTAATAACTGGTTATTTGGTTCTAGCTGTTACTCTTCAGTTTGGTTTTTCCTTCTTGACAGCTGTTGTGGTCCATCAACTATGACTGGCTGCGATGGGTATTGGTGGGCGTGGCCCTGGCTTTGTCCAGCACCGTCCTGCTGATGTCTCTCTGGCCGGCGGTCAAGGGGGAGGACATCAAGATGGGTGTGCCGGCCATGATCCTGGTGTTCCTGCTCCATGCTGCCTTGGCAGTCGGATTCAAGGTAATTGCACGTTACTCAAATTGGTGTAATAAAGAACACAAGGTGCCCAAACCCGTCTGTAATTTTTTTATTGCTATAGAGATTGTGTCTGCCGAGGAGAGGCAACGCTAAGAAGTAACTGTTCATTAGTAGTGCTTCCCTGAGGGTCCTTCAAATATCATTCACAAGGATAAGCTTTTTTTTCAGGGATTGAAAGGGCTGAAGTGGTCCTGTTGTCGGCATCGTTTAACTAGCATTTCTTAAAACGTGGTGCAAATTTAATCACGATCGTATTTTCTATTTGGCTTTTGCAGCTGTACTTCTTTGAGTTTGCTACTCATGCTGTGGACTTGGTGTCTACCCCTGCACCAAATGCCACAGCAACTGTTCACAGAGCGACAGTGACGCACGCCCCAACGCAGATGCCAATCTCAGCGTCTCCAAAGCCAACCTGAACACTGAAGTTCCAAAATCCATCACAACTCTGGTAAATTTCAAAGACCCCTATATAGATCCGACATATGATGTCACCTCTATCGCGTGTTGCATTCTGAAAGCCAAGTGTCGACTGGACGGCACTGTCGCTACCCTCTCATGCATATTCATAATGTACATGTACAGCATCATTCAAGGTGCATATTCTTGTTTTAATAGACTGTCATGGTGCATGTTAAGTGCTGCTCGCTTTTGTAAATTATTTCATACTCAATTTTTTGGATTATTTATTGTTGGGGCTGCAACACTGGGTAATGGGATCGTAGCGATGTTTGTTTGATGCTCACTAGTGAGAAATTTTGCTCATTCTGGTCAACTTTTTTTGGGGGGGGGGGAAGTCTTCCAATTTCTAAAGCCAGTTGTGGCCCAACCAAAACAAGAAGCCAGGAGTTGAGTTCAACAGGCATGTACACATACATGTTTCGCAGAAAGATAGTACAAGAATTTGTACCATTTTAGCAGCGGCATACATGTAGTGTTCATTATTCAACAGGACTCTGAAATGCTTTTTGTTGGGTTCAAGAACAGTCCTGACTACCAAAGTTGCCTTTTTGTTGACAAGTACATTTATTCGACCCCTCATTTTCGTAACACTGAATGGTCGATACTTCACAGAAATTGACAACCCTGTTCGTATGGCATGCAGCTCAAAAACATGCTACACATATTCAGCTGTGGGTAAGACGCAGCTGTTCTCTTTGTCTTAAAGTGTGTTAACTGCAACCTGATTTATCCCAACAGTGCCCTGTGGTAAAATATGCAAAGTGCATCTGGTTTGTAATGTTTTGCTAGCACATTTGGTCAAACGTGAATTTCAGTGTACGGAAATGATCAAGCACATTCGCAGTGAACTGCATTGCCCAATGGCGTCACACGAGCTGGGTGGCTGAAGCTTATCAATACGTTAATATAACTTCACCTCACATAATTCAACATCAGCCGTATCTACTGCTAGGGTTGACATTGTAAACCAGTTACAAACTGTCTTGATGATCAGAGCTGCTTATTACACGAATTGCCATCAGTGAGCCTTATATAGTCGTAATTTGTCAGTTATATGACTATAGGGTAATATGTTGCCTAATAACTTTCAACTTGAAGGGATCATTTGCATTTCATTTTTTCCCAATGTTATTTCCAATCGAATAGGCTTCGTACGAAGACTTGTGTATCTATTGAGTCAGCTTCTAAGTTTTGTGTTACAAAGTCTGTGGGCTTCTATGGTAATAATGCATTATCATATTGTTGCCCCTGATCAAAGTATCCAAGACATGTTCCTTTAATATATTTGTGCACATCCCGTTGAAAATTGTGATGCCTTTTACAAGCATAATCCCTGTGTCGAATCTGTTCTATCAAAATCTTTCCTTCCTGGACCTGTTCTCCCTTAACATTTTTCCGCCCTTGTTAAAAGTGGTATTTACAAAAAAAGTTTTTTTCTGCCTGTTAAGGGAACTGTAAAATTACTGTGTAAACTAACAGTAGCCAAGTGAAGTTTATTCATCTTTTGGTTATCCGGTGTCGGTTTTGCAAATAAATGTGCAATTAATCTTGCTACAAATTCACTCATTTGCTTTGTTTCTTTGTCACAGTGATCATACACAAGTACTGAGAGGTACCAGCGTACTTTGGCAACTTGTGTGTAGAAGATGACCAAAATTAAACTTAAAACAAAAATATTACTGTTGATGCCAGTAAGCCTTCTTTGAAAAGTGTCACGGCCTTTGACTCTCGCTGGAATCGGTCCGACATTCCCGATAGAAACCACTACATCTTGTTATCCACATTACATACTAAGTAAATATACCATGAGAATATTTTGCTTCAGGAAATAATTGCAACGTGCCCTTCATTTGTCAAGGCGACATATAGGGTTGTCGTAGACCATCTGCAGGTTGACTCGTGGGCCAAACAGCTCTCGGATGTTGTCTATGCCGTATTTGATCATCGTGGGCCTGGTGAACACGAGACACAAACACGAACAACTTGGGTGTGAGGCCTACTGAGGCTGTGTCAAACTTCCATGATGATTCAAACCGTAACATTCAAATTTACAAGGTTGAATTAACATTGAGCACCGAAAGAGATAATTTTGAAGTGCAAGAGTACCATGTACACTGGCATTAGAAAAGAAACAAACACAACTGAAATAATACACATACTTTTAATAGTCAAACGTTTTTTTAGCTTTGACACCTTGACCTTTGACCTTCTGGTACCAGAGGGTGAAAGTATAGTCAGACTTCATATGCTCTCCCACCATTGTCCTTATTTGTCCTGACAAAATGGTAGCACTTCATGCAAAAAACCAATCTGATTCCCTTGTGGTGAAGTTGACGTCAAAAATGAAATGGAAATTCACATGAAATGACAGCTACTCGCTCATTCCCTATGAGATATCGTTTTGGTTGAAAATTGAGATGTACTGCTCACCTTTCTAGGGAGAGGCCCCAGGCGATGACCACCACATCCTCGGGCAGACCCATGGGCAGCAGCATCTCGGGCCGGAATACGCCCGAGTTGCCTACCTCCACCCACTTCTTCAGACCCTCGTGGTAGCTGAACACCTCCATGCTGGGCTCGGTGTAAGGATTGTAGGCTGGCTTGAAACGCAACTTCTCAATTCCTGATGGACAAGACGCACGCCTTAGCTGTTAGTGGTTTATATCTCATATAAACTGCTTTCACTTAGAGGCAAATTTGAACACAAATCATCTCAGTTTCATATCTGTTTTGGCTAAATCAACCATGCTATCTGATGTTGACAACTTGGTGAAATCATTTATATCACAACCACTGAGGTATCATTTTAACAGTTCTGCCACCACCATACCCTGCACCCTACTGATCCTATGATAATGTTTCATGTGGACTTAATATAACTTGTAGTGTAAAGTGGCATCAAGGTTTCTGGCTTCACAGTGATGTGATTTGGGGTGTAAATGGCAAATGATAGGCAGAGTGTTGTGACATGTGGTGTCTTGTGGGGCAAGGGTCCACTCTCACATTAAAATGAATTCACAAATACCTCAGTCTCCCTATGCAACTTGACCGTGTATTGACATTTGATAATGCCGCTGAGATGCGATAATGCCACGTCGTAAAAAAACACTCTGGCACCTGGATACAAGACAGTTCAATACATCCCTATCGGTCAAGAGTCTGCATGCGACGCACATGTAGAACGTGCCACGCGCGCGCCAAGTCCATATATGGAGATTCATCTGGACAATTTGCACAAGGAATATACCATAAAATAGATGGGGGTGTTCGGAAAAATGAAAGTAAAATCCTAGAACAAAGCGTCGGAAATCCATCATATACTGACTTTTTTTGACTCTGATTAAAAAATGTATTTATGAAAGGGAATAAATATATGCTTGGCTGGTCTTAAGACCAGCTCAGGAGAATGGACATGACTAATTCCCAGCTGCAAGACCGGTCAAGCACATATTTAATTCCCTAGGCAAAGTTCCAGAACTGGTTTGTATTAACTCACCATTGGTCCACTAAAACTCACCAAGCTTTTTGAAGAATGCGTGCAAGACTCCAATGAGGTCAGCCAGGGTCAAATTGTAGTCGGCAATGACACCCTCTATTTGATGGAATTCAGCCAGATGCGTGGCGTCCAGTGTCTCATTGCGGAACACTCGGTCGATGGAGAAGTACTTCACCGGCCGGAACTTTTCCTGAAAAGCACGCCAAATGTGAGAATTACTCTTTTGCTTTTAACATGAGAGAGAGGTTAAACTGGCAGGCCTGGTATTGCCTGTGTTGCCTCAATAATTATTCCAAATGGCGATTCCATGCCAAGAGCTGATTGCCAACAAAAGCAGTCATTCCTCCTGTCTCTATTCCATTTTGTCCCCTTTCCAACCATTCTTCACGCCCACGATAGAAGCATCGTAGTTTATGATTTACAGAAATGGTGGTCTTCAAGCAAGAAAATGTATGATTATGTCACTGAGTCAGACAGTGCTGCAATTCCCTTTTCTGCTGAGTTGCAAACGAATACAAACAAGAGCGAGTTCATATAAACACTGTCTGAAGCTAGTCAGACAGTTACACTGTCCATAAGGACCTTGCACGCGCCAATGGAACGAAGGAAGTTTTGGAAATGAATGTTTGCTGACTAGTTGTGGTGACCGTTGAGTGCACTCCGCATCGCCAGCTGTACTGAACTAGATTAACGTACCTCCTGGGCCAACTGGTATAACATTCTGGTACTGACGGCTGTCGTATGTGTCCTCAAGATGTTCTTCTTGGCTTCCTCGATCTTCCAGTTTGTCTTGTACCTGTTGATATTGTACATGCATACCACTGCTGATCAGTCTTGCTGACCATACAGGCAGTGAACACTTTGTGGGGTGACGTTTTTCACTGGACCCTACAAGAACTCCTGACTACTGGGGGATCAAAGTGTGAATGGACCAATGTAGAGGGAACTATCACACTTCAGACAGAGCTCTTATACATCACATCACAAGTCATCCAAGACAACAAAGTTACAACAAGTAACAACAAGTTACAAAAGCCATTCGTTTGTCACAGTAAATCCCACTATACACGTGACTGACTGGTGACTGATAACAGACTACCTGTCACCTATCACCATGGATATCACCATGAGTAGATACTCACCCTTGTGACCCATAGCCACCAACAGAGTGAACCGTTTTGACCCTTTCTAAGTAATCCATAGGAAATTCATGTGCGTATTGGGGATCTGCAACAAACAAAAACCAGGAGCTGAGATTAATTTGTACTCCGACAAAATAAAAGAGCATTTAAACTTGCAAGTTTAAAAACCACAATTTATCTGACACTTTGTGTCACAAACTAAAAAGTACATCGAAGCACACAGACTACGCGAAAAAGCTCACTACTGTACAAAATTTGAACAGCAGGGGGGGGGCACCTTTGATGAAGAAAGTGTCTTGGATGTCCCTGGCAGGGTGCTGCTGGGGCTGGAACAGGGCGTCAAAATTCCAGAAGGAACTCTCTATGAAGTTGTTGGTTGGCATTTCAGTGAAGCTGTCAATACAAGTTTTAAAAAATGAAGATGTTACATCACATACAGCACACGGCTGTGCTGAATATTTGAATAATTGAATATTGATTAGTCAATCATTAATATTCAAATATTTTTTATATCAAATAATTGAAAGTAAATCCCAATAAAATAAAGTTGGAAAAATTCAATTATTCGATTATCAAATTGCTCTGTAAAATCACAAATCAAAGTCTTACAACTATTTAAATGCACCTAAAGTATACGTCTAACAATAAGGCCAAATGATTATTTTTCTGTCCAACATTTCCACACTCTTTTGGTGTGTGATCTCGCTGACACTAAAGCAATAAATCATCAATTAAGCCAAACATACACTGTATGTTGGACCCCCAGCATCCTCCTTTAACAAGGGGACCGCCCCTGCTCTGGAACTCAGAGATAGACCCCCACAAAAAAACAGGTATATCTTGTGAGATTTGAATATTCAAACATAATGAAGATTGACTATTCAATTATTCAAACAGCTCAGGCCTTATGCACTAGCTTACACTGATGGTAACTTCTTGAATTGGGGAAGGAATGACCACACTGTTAATCAACATTCCACGGGCCATCTTTACACATATCTTATAAATTCTTTACACTATTTGTGCCTGTTTGTAAACATCGCCATGGTACATTAATCCACAAATGATTTGGATAGCAAGAGCCCTTTCACCACATAATGACACAAGCTGAGGCCGAAAAGGGGGTGCACAAGTGCATTTGAGCTGGGCAGACACATTTCTACTTTTAATGCCTTGAACATCCTTGAAGCAAGTTCTCATATCGAAATGGTAGGCCCTAAGCAACCAGTGCTTACCCCATCTCCAGGAAGATCTGTCGGAACTGAGCCCTAACTTTGAGCAAGGGGTGAAGGTGACCGCAGGCTGGCATGGCCCCAAGCGCATCAAAGTTGTACTCCTTAAACTTGTGATCCTTCCAAGAACCACTGAAACATACACATTAGAGATTACCCCCCCCAAAAAAAAGAAAATTCAAATCTATGAACAAAACAATTTGTAAGCGTCCAGAGGCCTAAAAACAAGAACTTGTCTGTCGTCATAAAGACAAGTCCACATCAATATCCGGGGACCTCCAACAAAGTTTGAAGGCTTCACTGGTTCCCGACAGCTGCCTATACTACAAACTGCCATGTGAGCAGACAGAAGTGTTTCCTAATCCACTTTCCAACAAAATGCAACGAAAATACTTTCATTCTATTTTATAGTTTGGTGTTCCTGATTGATAAAACATGAGATTTGGGTGGCATTCTCCAATTTGCAGTAATCACACTCCCTCTTACCTGGCAAGCATCTCTGGTGTTAGGTCTGTTTCAGGCTTGCTGACAGATGTACTGAACTCAGAGCCTTTCATGACCAAGAAGGTATTCAGTGTCCTGAAAAAAAAAAAGCACTCTTACATCAAATGGAGTAGAAAAGACAAATTGTATGTTTATGCAAAGTTACTAACATTTTGACCTGCTCTGGTTAAAGACCTTGCATCTATTGGCAATGTCTACAAAACCCTAAAATATTTCAAAGGACAACGACTGACTTTGATTACCTCTGGATTTCAGGAACATCAAATTTGGAAAACATTCCAATACTCTGTTCTCAAAACTGCTTGTAACAGCGATGAAATAATGCAATATGTTTATAAAGGAAGTTCTTTTAGAAAACTAAAACAAATATGCATCGTATAGAACTTGTTTTCTTCATACATGTAGTCGATTGCATAAAAACCACAATTTAAAATTTGTTTCTGAGCAAGTCCTCTATTTCCTGCTTGCCATGTCCTGCATGTAACCAACGTTTTACCCTCAAACACATACATAGATTTCCAAGATTTTCATTCTGCTCTTGGGCATCTGGATGGAGAGTGCCAACAAGACTTTTTGTATTACTAATCTTTGTAATGACGGTGTAATTGAAGAAACCATGGCATTACGTACGGGACAAGAAGGGAATCTTCTTGCAGACTTAGCGTTCTTGAAGAGTCTGTTTTGTCTAAAACATTTATCACTCAGCTCAGATAGCACAGGTGCAGACTGACAGGATTCCAAATAATATTTCTGAGATGTTTTTGGAATTGTTTTTTTCCGTTTCCTTCGCTCCAGTAATTCTCTATTAAACTGTCCCTACATTTGTGCGCAGTGGCACTGAGGGTAGAAAGACTCACACTTCTTGGATGAGTTTTCTTTTCTTCAGCTCTCCTTTCTCCTTGTCCGTTAGGGAGCCAATCTCCCCAGCGAGGACTTTCTCGAGCTGACCTCTGACCTTATCAACAATGCTGGACACCTGTGATGTAGCAAACAATTTCGAAGTCAGAAAACTTGGGTGCCAACTTAACCCAACAAATTTATGAATCATTACATAGCCAGCATGTACAAAAATCCTTTTCAAGTGCAGCACGACCCCTGACCTTTCTCATAACTCGAGGGCCTCCTTCAGCTGCTTTGTTGATCTCTAACCATCCTGCCGACATGGCTTTGCTGAAACCAATCTTTGCATTTGCAACAGTTTTCTAGAAAGAGAACAAAGAAACAGCGAATGAAATCTAATGGAAACGTCGACAGGACCTCTGCAATTGCCACTTGACATTGACTGCAGGAGTACTTGTGTTTTGTGGTGATGTCATCATATATGCACATGTCAGGCGAAATGAATACAATGCAGGACTTCTGCCGCATTCTGTAATGGAGTTGGTGGTGCTCGTTGGAAGTTGTACATTCATTAACTCGCATTACACTAGAGAAGGCAAGCTCGTGGATTGCATATTACTAACGTCTGCATAAATTTTGACGCTGTCACATACATGTAATGCAAGTACAATATTGAGGAAAATTTAAAATAGAGAAGTGCAGGGCCTAGAATCTGGTATTATTTACTGGGGAAATGGTGCTTTGGGTAGTGATTAGTGAAACTTTGCAGTATAGCACAAGACTTATCGTTCACAGTGTTACACCAGGGTAGTGTTTAAAGGGGATGGGCCATGTAGGGTTAAATTGACGTAATAGAATAATTTTCAATCGTCTTATATACAACAAGTTGGATACCAGACACCATTGAGCTAGTGTACAAGCTGCATAGAGGTTACTGAAAACAGTCTGCAACACACATTCTCGGCTGCGAACGAATGTGTTTTAGCTGCAAGTCATTACCATGAGTTCAGCCTGTGGTATACCGCCCTCTTGTGGTACCGCCTGGAACACCAAGGCCTCATGGCTCCCTGATCTGATGATGGCCTTCCCTTCGAGAGTCAACTCCCAGTATTTACTGGTTTGTTGCTTCGTTTCAATCACCTGTAACAGACACACAAAACAAGGAATACCTTTAAACTAGTGAAGTACACTTTCATTTGTTGTCCATCCATGCATAATTACAAGAGATTTTAAAAGCCTTCATGAATGCTATTGCAAGTGTGCCCCTCGTACAGGCACAGCAGTTGAGATAGGGTGAAGTTTCAAAGAAAGAAGTGCTGAAGCAGATGGGACCTAGAAAAAGCTACACTTGTTGGGTGTAGGACACCTTAACCACAAAAACAGATGGAAGAAAATTCTTACAAGCACAGGTGTAAAGATGGACACTTGTAACAAAACAAACGTTTCTGTTTGGAGGAGGAAATGAAATGTATTGAAGAAAGTTAAGACATAAATATTCCATAATTCTCTTTGGATGAAAAAAGTTATATCAGTTAAAAGAACAGAAAGAAAATATATTCCTCCACAGTGATTCTTCAGTTTACAAGGAAAGAGTTCCATTTCACTGGATTTTAACCCTCACCGCCAAGCATATTGTTTGGCTTACGCTGCTCAGTACTACAAAATATTTAGTAATAGTCTGAGCCTGAAGGACCTAGCGCTACAAATTACTACTTCTGGCTCGGGCACCCTCCATTGTTACTTGTATAGAGAACAATAAAGCCATGCATTCATCATGCCAAAGCACTGTATGGTACATTGTCTTATCTATTATATCTTTTGGCTTTACAGAACAATAAGGTCATGTCCTCTTACAAGCGACAGGGCTGAATACTACATTTTACTACAACTAGTAATTTGTACGTTTTCAAAGTTCTTCAAAAATTCATCAATTCATTTAATAGCCGTTTATACCAAAATGAAGGACTCTTTGGGCACTATTCTAAAGCTGACAGGTAAAATTCATTGACTCCTGAATATTTCAGCCAGGCCTGCAGCCTTGGAAAAAGAGCCCATATTGTGCAGTGTTACGTAAGATTCTTTTTTTCCCGAAACCAGCACAGTGCACTGCAGACCTCTTTTCAATAGGGGCCAGATTAGCGTGCAGCTATGCTGTGTGGCTCATCGCTGCAGTGGTGGAGAGCTTTTGTCCCCGGTGGTAATCCGCCCAAATGCCTTTCAAAACAAGGCTGGATTTTCTCTACTATTGAGAGCGAAAAAATGTCAGTAATGCCCAGCAGCTCAGTCTTTTTGTGCTGAGCACGGTCTTTTGTTACAAGGCCCAACTCTTTTGTCCCAGTTCTGGGCTCCCTGGCTCAGTCACGGACGTGTATAATAAAATCTGGACTCGCAATGCCCTTAATCAGCTTATAGAGTCATTGAATCCACTCGCAGCCATTTTACCGAGCCGAATACAAAGCTTTCCTGGCAATGCCCGCCTTTGTTCTTCCTGACGCCAATAGTAGGGAGCCAACCTACGCCTTTGTATTCGGCTCGGTAAAATGGCCGCTGGTAGGCTTCTTTTTCATACAAAGGCGTTGCAAGTCCAGGTTTTTTTATATACGTCCGTGGGCTCAGAATATAAAGCCTATGTACTCGAAAAAGGGTCGCCCGGCAGGAAGTGGTTAATCCCTTGGCCTTGGTTGACAGGACTTTGAATAAATGGAATAAAATTGCTCCCGTAAAGTCATAAGTTCAACTGTCTAGGGAGCAAGTACTTGCTCCCGTGATGATTAGCCCAATTTCGAGCCCTGACATATTAGTGACATTGCATGGATGACTCCATACGTCCAGCATTATCATGGGGCTTGCTGGAACACAGGCCCAGCCTTTATTTGTGTGCATTTCCCCATCCGGTTTGTAATGTAAGTGACTTTGTCATACACGTCCACACACCACTCATTACAAGCTCCCTTCGAATGAACACACAAGTTTGTGTGGTAATTTGCATGCTGTAGACTCACATAAGCCTTACTGCTGATACCGCACGGGTAATTTTGCACATTGGTAGAAAGGCACTGTGGGAAGGAAAAAGGGGCCATGTTTGCTCTTTTTCCTTCCCATAATGCCTTTCTACCATTGAGCAAAATCATTTATGTGGTATCACAATACATGCAATAAGGCTTATGTGACATGAGACTACGGCATGCACAAGCTTGTACACGGCTTTTACCACTGCCTCTTTTGATCAAAATTCGAAGCCGCAGTCACAAGAGACAGGACTGGATAATGGCTATCCCTGTCATGCGCCGCGCCGCGCCGCCCTATACAATCCCATGCATTAATTAAATTGACACACCAGCAGTGCTAAGAGATTATGCGTAGCTCACTAGCTGACGCAATCCATACACATTCAATGCAAGCGCACGTGTGCCTACAAGAAAGACAGAGCTAGCCTTATACCGATTAACGAATTAAAATTACATTTCCTAGCGACTGCAAGCTTTTCACAGCTCCGACAATTTGCTGATGGTCTTTTTGTAGTGATTTAGCCAAAGCATCCGTCGAAATCTGTCCATCTTTTTCTAAACGTTGAAGGATGGTCTCGCCCAGAATTTCCGCCATCTTGAATGTTTTGCTGGTAGTTCTAGTTGTGAACTATTTGACAGATATCAAGCTACGTTACCTATTCTTACGTATATAAAATAGCCGTCTGATTCGTATTTTATCCTCGTGCTACATTATTGCTCCCCAACCTGTACAGAGTTCTTCATTTTTCATTAATAAAATAAATAAACCGTGTAGATATTTTTTATTTACATAGATTATTTTTGAAAGAACGACTATTAATATGCAAATCTATAATTTTTTAAATTCAAGTAATTTAACATTGCTTTGGCAGGTCAAGTGTCCATGGTGATGGATGACGCCCATTGGTCAACATGACAATGCCATTGATGCTCGTGAAATTTGCATAATTGATTGTCCACCATAAGGGTGAGTGACGAAAGGTCCCACTCATAAGTCGCAGTAAAGTCTGGGAATGGGTGCATAGTACATGTTGTGGCTTATTGTTTATAAATCAAGAGTTATCATGGTTGTAAGTAAAATTTTACAAGCGTGTTACATGTACTATAAAGTTTGTTTAAGGCACTGGTACTACTACTAGCAGACTAGGTAACTTGTGGCACGGACTTCCCCCTCCATCCCGCTCCCTAAGGATGGAGCGGGAGTGAGAGTCCGTGCCACAGTAGTGGGGCTAGTACCAGGTCTAACGTTAGAACTTTCGGAAGTTTTAGCTGCTGGCGAGGTTGTGGTATTTTTTATTTGCAGGTTATGATCATGTTTCCTTTTTTTACACCATCATGACCCGTTTTTGAAAAAAAAAATTGTCTACCCCCAGAACAGTGGGGTCCACCCCGCTCCCGCGAATTCTTTGAGAAATGTTTTGTTCGTGGGAGTGGGGCAGATGTCGGACCCCACAGTTCTGGGGGTAGGGCCTAGACTATATCTACGTTATGGTAGGCTTATGTCACTTAAAATAAAATGGCAGTATTTCTGTTCCAGGAAAAATTTGATTCCAACATGTGCAAACTTACTGCAAGTATTTAATTTGCACAATGACGTGATTGAATTTTGCTTGTATCTGCAGACTCAGGCCCTGAAAGATGTTTTTGTCATAATGTGAGGAAGGAATGTTACAGCAATCATGTCAGCTGAGAATCTGTTGCAGATGGAAGAGGGGGATGATGATTATCCCCTGTTGCCCCTCCAAAGGGGGTCTGGAACCAGACAATCCTTCACTCAGCTCCGTCAGAAACAGAGGGCGCGTCGAGTCAACGTGGGTGTGACCGAAGCAGACATCATGATGGAGGAGGAGGGCTATTATGATGACGACCTGGAGGCCAAATACATGGCCACATTTTCCCGTCGGCAGAAACGTCAGACAATGCTTGTGCTCCATGATGCACTCTTCCTGGTCCTTGATTTCCTCCAGTTCTACGCACTCTTGGCAGCCATCTCATTGCGGTGGCCCTGGCCCTTCAACTGGCTCTACCCAACTCGGTTCCTGTTCCTCGCTAACCTTGACGTGTGGGAGTTCATGAAGATGAATGACCCCGAAGTCTACAACTCAGCCAGGAATAATTTTATCGACAGCACCCTGATTGGTTTCGACTACCGCTGGTATACGCTGGGCTGGGCCATCTTCATCTTTGTGGCGATCACTCTATATATCATCCTGTACATTGCAATGAACTACCAGAAGCGTTACAACCTGCTGTTGCAGGTCGCCAGGCTCCAGAGGGCATACATCATCCTGTGCCAGGTCCTGGCTATGCCAATTGGCGTAATGATGGCAAAGCTTTTCCACTGCAATGCAGACGACAACATGGATGTCCACAATGCAACACCATGTGCAGGTGGCGAGCACCTGGCCTACGTCGTTCCCTCGCTGGCAATCTATGTGGGACTTTTCATCATACTGCCCATTTGGATGATCATGAAAATCCGTACCCAGATATTCAGCAACCGGTCAGAGCGCCATGAAGGGTTTCTGCAACTCAAAGAGACCGAATTTTCCCACGGTCTGGATTTCATCTGGGCCATCAAGCTATACCACCTCTTCTCCTCCTTCCGTCTGGTCTGGGCCTACTACCGGCCGGTCATGTTCTTATTCAAGCTGGTTCTCTTGGCATCCTATGCAGCCCTCCTCTGGTTACCCATGTGGCAGATGATAGTTTTCCTGGTGGCTATTTGTCCCCTATTCTTGGTCATCCTCATCCGACGTCCATTCCGCATCACTTCCTTCAATGTCTACATCATGATCAACTTCCTCTGCATGCTCATCCTAGCCATCATGGGCCTGATGCAGAACCTCTTTGACACCAACTCTGTGTTCTTTCAGGCTGAGTATCTTTTCTCGGAGCTGCTGGCCGTCGGGGCTTTTTGGGCGGTGTTTACCGTTGTCTGGTTTGTGTATGTCTTGCTGCGCTACTACGGCCTCCTGTGCCGAGGGGTGCCGCTCTGGCCGGAAATGACCAGCCGGGAGGTGAACAAGTTGAGCGGTGAGACCCAAAAGTACATGAGAGCCCTCTTGAAGGGCCGCATTGTCTTGGAGCATGCTCTGTCCACCTGCCCACTCTTCAGTCCTGTCCACGAGCTATCTCGTCAGATCCAGATCATCAATGCCTACTGCCGAGAAGCGGAGTACCTCCACGACCCCATCCACGACACCTTATGGGATCTTCTGGATGAGCTGATAGAAGCCCACACCCACCTTTCTCCAGTGTCTCTCTTCTCTGAGTCGGTCAAGTCCTCCATTCGTGAGACCGCTCACGAGTTCATGAAATTGATGCCGGCTTTCAAGAAGCGACTGGCACAGAGGGAATATGACTTCATCCTTATGACCCCCATGAAAAGGAGAATGCTTCTAAAGATGTTCACCTTAGGTAAGAATAAAATTTATTATAACTTGTCTTAACAAAACAGAATGATGGACTCAGAACAAAGCAAGGGTGGTACTGCCAATGTAAACAGATGAATTGTGAAATTGTGAGTCGATCTTTTTCAGGTAAACGTAGATTGAAAATGCTGACTTTTAGGATGGTGGAGGCTTTATAAAATCAGATTTTTTTGGACCAAAAGATCTACAAATTGTAAGTTTTCTCATATTGGGAATTAATCATGGAACAGATATTTGGCTTTACTACAGAAACATTGACGAGTTGTTTACCTTGCAATTTACCACCTGCAGGTGTTTTCGCGAATGGAAAAATGAACAAGCCCCGTCCAGTGGACCAGACAGAGACTGTGCAGAGGTTATATAACCCCAGGGAATCTGTGGTCTTGCAGCAGAGAGGTGTGGAAGGTGAGATGTTGCCTAGCGGGCAGTTTCAATCAGACAGAACCTTTCAACAAGTGTTTAAAACCTTAGATGCTTAAAATCAAATCAACTTCACTCTCTGGCCAGCCGACCCCAGCAAACTTGGTGGTCAGGTTCATTGACATCTGTACTAGTAAACGGAAGGTCGTGGGTTCGAGTCCAGTCCAAGTAATCTTGTCTATTTTTTCACAAGCCCTGGGACAACTCTGAGCGTACAGTTTTATTTGTGTGTCTGTGAAAAGGAATAACTTCCAATATCAAAATCGGATACTCACAAAAGTTATGATAATCCTAAATACCAGATAGTGACTCTGTTTTTGTGTTTATAATGCAGGTGATGACGGATTTTATGAAGACATGTACGATTCTCTCCATGACTTGGATCCGAGCACCCTTCGTCTCAAGCAGCAGCAACAGTACAAGGCTAGGATGATGAGACGACCCATCCTGGAGGAGATGAGCGAGGATGAGGATGTAGATGCAGATGCTGATGAGGACAGTGAGGTGGAATGGATGCGAGGAATCCCCTCACGAGCTGAGGTGAGGGATCATCTCGAAAACTCTAAATGCTGGAAATTGTATTTACGCATGTATGATGTTCTTTTGGTATCACTTCTGTGGTTTCCTAAGTTATTTGAATGAGAAACACTCACAGTGTCATCCCTGTTGTTTAAAATGGAATGCAATGCCTAAGCTTCCTTGCCTGTGTGTTTTAAGACGTACTCCTTTTTATAATGAAGTCTCAATTCAGTTTTCCAATCTTTGCTTCATAAAGGTTCAGTGTGTGAGCAATCGGACCATTTCCAAGCTGCGTCTGTGCTATATATTGATTGGTTTTCGGACTTTTCTGAGTTAGCATTTGCTGAAGTTACTCATTCATCTGGTGTTGGAAGTGCTGTGGTGATGCACAGCGTTGGAAGAATTTAAAATATACGTTGTATTGACTGATTCTTGGTCGTGTGGGTTGACGTATCTATTGGTGAAATTGATTTATCATTTCAGAGTGACTTGGTGTCTTCAATCAATGATCGTGATGCTGATGACTTGTCTGACATGATGGCAGGCATTCCCAGCAGGCCAGGAAGCATTTCCAGGTAAAGCGCTTTCCCGGTTGAAATAGGATTTTCTCCAAGATATGGAAGCATTGAAGTAATAAAGGAGTAAATCTGTGTTTGGAGAATGGAAGAAAGTAATGTCCATGCCCAAGCTGCAGGTGAGGGCGCTGTCTGTGCCCGTTCTCCTGAGCCTATCTGAAACGACAGTTTAAGACCAGACATGGAACAAAGACATGAAACCAGATAAGAACGTATTTATTCCCATGCAGAAATACCTTATAAATCAGAAACTCAGAACAAGTTGAAATTTTACTTCATTTTCTTAAACACCCCTCTAGCCATGTTATGGTATGTTCCTCACCCAAGCAGTCATATACAATCTCCTTATATGGAGATATGCTGCACATGGCTCATACTGCTTGAAGCCAGCCAGTACTTTATCAACTGTTTAAAACTGGCCACATGACGGGCTCTCAACTAATAGGAATGGCTGAACTGTCATACAGCATTCTGAAAAATGCTTACAGACTTTTTTAAAATGGTATCAGCTGATTGCTAGACCAAGAAGAGTTTGGTACTGTGGTACTTGCATACCTTAAAGAGCAAAGATCTTGTGCATTTGTAACTCATATGTGTCACTACTGAGGAACATTTCCAGGAGTAGACTGGGATCAAAGAATTAGGTACGAGTCAGATGGTTTATTATGTCATCATTAGAACCTGCAAATAAAAAACAATTTTGTGTTTTTCAAATGTAAAGTTCTTCCAGGTCTGTGAGCAGACACGTGTATCAACGGTAAAATGAGATTTTTGAAAGGTAATTTGCTCTTCAGCATCCAGAAATGTCAACAGAACTTTTGGGGATGAATGTCATAAGCACTCTGGGTACACAGTTAAGCACTCTTCTGAGGTGACCCAAAAGGAACTTTGTTATTTATCTCTACAACACCAAAAATGTCCTTCAAGACTTCGTTGATTTCTTTTGTGGCATCGCGAAGTGCATTCGTTCATCTATTTTCGCTTCGATATTAAGAATTTTGCCAGCATGTTTTGAAAATACATGAATTTGAAGTCAAAACAGGAATTTGCCTTGTTGTGAAAGAAATTTGTAGTCTCAGGAAGGTAAAAAAAATGATGCACTGTGATGTCCTTTTGAGGCCTCTTTTCCCACAGAAACATTGGATTTGTCTTGTTCTTTGGGTTCAGAATGTTGGAATTGAAGTGGTTTCAGAACCTGCAATCACCATCACTCTCAAACACACAAATGCACAGTCACGTTTTGCTTCCAAGAAAGAACCTGGATGTTTGTCTTCCACGCACTCCCTTTGTTTTCTGTACCAAATCTTAAAGGCCTGTCCGTGAATTCGTACATGAACTTTTTAAAGACTGGAAAAAAATTCCCTGCACCGTGGATGCACCCATACACAACGTTTTCAACAAGTTTGTTGCAACGGTCTTTACCACACACTTTAATCATTTCCCCATCTCCCACAATGACACTTGCATTACTTCACCTTTAACTTGTAATCTTAAGAACAATTTGGGTAGATGTATTGGTCTTAAGTCAATGCAATGCAGCGTTCTTCCAACAACCCTTCAAGATGTACCCTTTTGTTTCGATTAACATTTGTTTTGCTACTTCTTAAGGTGTTTCAGAGCCCTTTTTTTTTAGGCTTATGAAAATGTTCATATTCATGAGCAAAACTGTGATGTCATTCCAGGGAGGGAACCCCATTGTTTCATTGATATGTCTACAAACCTGCTAGAATTTTTTTGTGGGTGTACATTTTTTGGTCTTCATTGTTGGGTAAATTAAGTACATGGCGATAAGCCTGTGAGCAAGCCTCTCTTGGGGAATTGCTTTCTATGAGCACATTATGGGTCCATAATTTGAACAGAAAAACCTAAGAAGTGAAAAGTGTCTTCCGCGAGTGACATCACAGCAAGAGGGCCCTCAGTTGTCCAGAGAGGCATTGACTATTTTAAATGTGTTTTTAAACAAAAAAGAAAGATGGCAAATAGTTTTTGTACATTGAAGAAGAGTATGAGGTTTCGCACAAAGTGTGTCTTTGAAAAATTCATCACTCGGACCTTTTAATCCATGCTTGACCCAAAGCATGCAAGGTCATGGTCAGACAGAGCTGTAGACCTCAGGTTTGTGGAGTGTGCAGTGTGTTCTACATCTTGGCAAGTGAATCACTCATATTGGCGTTTAAAAGAACTTAGTAGTCTGTGTCCTTTTCCTGATAGCACTAGGGGATCCAGCCGAACCCACACCAGTTCCAAGTCTCGGAGTAACTCATTGTTCTCAAGGAGGTCTATTCCGTCTCAGATGAGCAGTGGTGGGAAACAGCGGGGCACTGCTCAAAGAAGCAAAACGCCCCCACAACGGAATATCGCAGAGGAAAGCATGCAAGATGCAGAAGACGCTGTATAGATCACTGTGTGGCAGGAATAAATCCATCCAGCCCTTTTTAACCAGTCAGTTCAACTTATTTAAGAAAATCATCCAAATCAGCGTAACGTTTGAATTAACTGCCAAAGTGTGAAGTAAAAAAATACAACATAGTCCTGTCACGCCCCAAAAAAATCTTAGGTGGTTTTATTGGAAGTTTCTTTGTTGTACTTTATAAAGAATTAATTCCCTGTAATGAAAACTCAAGTCTATGCTTGTTTTTATAATATTTATCGGCATCTTTATTTTAAATTCCGTCCATGTTGAATGCAGTACATACATGTATATTTTGAAAATTCCGACATCTAAAAGAAACATTCATTGTGTTATTTCCTGAACATTTTTGTATGCAAACCCAGTGTACTGACTGGTTTTTTTTTCCAGCTAAAATAGAGCCTAGGCAGTCAGTAAAGTCTCACAGTATAATTAGAAACTACATGCAGTGACAGGATCTGACTTTGGTATGTATCATGTATGCGTGTGGATATATACCTCTGCTGTTCTGTTTTTGTGTAAGTTTGAACCGTTAATTCCAATTATGGAAACCCCAAAACTTTCAGTTTAGTTGTGATTTCAACAGAGAGGCAGCTGATTTTGGAATGAGAACTTAACTCTTGCACTTTTTACCTGAAATTGCACAGAAAATTTTTGGGCAAGCTCTGAAAAAGCAGTATACATTACAGTGTCTTTTTTTAACGGTCATATCTTTATGTCTGTGAACATGCCTTAGTTTGAATTTGTCTTTCTTACACCTAGAAAGTAGGTTCTGATGTTAAGTGTGGGATTAAATTGTAAATAAGTGAAATACAGATATGTAGATATTTGATAAACACAAATCTATATAGTTTTCTATACATGTAGTTGAACGTCTTTCAAACGGTGTGAAGTATTTGTGTAAATTTGGATGACAGGCTTGAGAATTCCTGATTTAAGAACAGATTTTAATCGTTTATTTTTGCAGCTTATGATTTTGGTTATCGAAAACAAGCAACTGTGCACTGTTAATGGAAATGGATCTTGACAAATGAGTGATTTCAGAATTAGAATTTATCACACAGAATTCTTGCAATTATTTGGCGTTGATAATTTTGCAGACTGCATTGTTTTGTTCCTGGTGCATTGCTTTAGTTCATGTACAGTGGATGCGTTGGTGTGACGGAGCGGTGGTGGTGGTGGGGAGAGGCAAGGGGATGAAAATAACCAATGTGCTTCAGAATACCTGGAATTGACCCCATCGAGGTTTGTTAATTTGTCACATGACAAATGCATTTGTCGCACCAAACCCCCTCCAGGAAAAACCCTGGTGATGCTCATGAATGGTAGTGACCTGCTACTTGTATTTGAGTATTCGTTATCTCACTTTTGTAATCTATTTCCATTTTTTTGCAATTGTTGTAGATTTTAAACTGAAAGCTAAACTCCGTCCACTTCTGAAAAATGTACGTCTGAATTGAAAATTTGCATTAAAAAAATATAAAGACCTATTTTTTCACGTGCATTGGTATTAACGTTTTTTCTGGAACGTACTGGCTCCTTTGTTTAGAAAAAGTGCACTAATTTGGTAATATTGAAGGACATATTTGAAGGAAGCAAGAATCACGAGACCATTTAATATATGCAAACAGGACGGAATATCTTTATTGGATAACTATTTACATTTGACATTCTTGCATATTTTACACAATCATTAAAAACAGGAACAAAATCGTCTTCATATCAAGAAAGTGGAATTAAAAAAAAAACCTGGTGTAATTTCCTGTAATAGTTTTACAATTCATAACTAGTAATAACTTTATCATAAGGCATGTAGTATTGCATGGAAGATGCAAGTGAGGACGGCTCAACTCTAAGGCAATCAGAACTGTTTCAATGCCTGGAAGAAAGAAAGTTAACATGGACGGTTCACCAAGCATCGCACCAAGTTTTTGCAATCAGATCTACAAAAGCAAATACTCTGAAACTTAACAACCGAGGAAGACAATGAATACAAATTTCTATCTGATCAAGAAAACATAAAGCTTCTCTTGTTAATGTGAAACAGGCACTTGTATGGTAACCACATCAACCATCCAAATGACATAAACAATATGTACAAGATTTTTACAATTTGTACATTGCTGCAATCCCAGCCAAGGAACACGAATGAGGAAGGCATTTTTTGAGTAGTTTGGAAATAGAACATGGCCAGGAAACTTGTAATTCTCATATTCTGTAGCCTACAATTTTTATGAACGACAGCAAAATTGGGGGAACAAGTAAAAAGAACTCTCTAAAGGCAATGGACAAAGACTGAGAACCAAAGCTCCATGGCCTCCCTATTGTCTCAAGCTTTTTTCGAAAATTCTTGCTCTGTACGTTCTTGCTTTGATTTAAGAAAAGATGTGATCCTGTTGTCTTGAAAACTACAAAAACCAAACTTTCCTCAAGTGTTCTTTTATTGTGCCAGGACTGGCGGTAGCCGGCCACCAGAGGGCGGCCTCTGCGCGGCTATCTGCTCCGCTTCCATGAGCTGCGTGCGCAGCTTGCGGATTTCGCTGCGCTGCATGTCGATGATGCGCACATTCTCATCGTTCTTACCCTCTCGGCTGGACATCCCACCGCCTGGCATGCCATTGCTGCCATTCATGGAGAGCACAGACTCGGCCTGTTGCTCCGGCGGCAGGTTCTTGTTCTTCTTGTTGATGCCCAGGGCCGCCTCCAAGTCGTGGACCTGGGTGCGGGCGATCTTCAGCTCCCGCCGGAGGTCGTTGATTTCCTTGATCAGGGAAACATTTTCCTGTTGGAAATTAAGTGAATGTGCATCTTAAATATTGCTGCGGTCAAATTAATTATTCAGTTCGACACAGAAGCAGGTTAGATTTTGTTTGGCTTCATTTATTACATCCTATACAACATTCCAACATTTTTATGTAAAAAGAGTGGCATGTCACAGAGCTCGGGCTTCATGTATGCCGACTTGAAAATAATATGTCACTTTATTCTCTTGCATCCTACCTAGACTATCATGCAATCTACTGGATTTCAGTTCTTATTTCTTCAATTTACTCCATGTGACTAACCTGCATGATTCGGACATTGTCAGCTCGGTGGATCTCAGTGTCTTTGGCAAGTTTCTTGCGCAGCGATGCCACGCTCTGCTCGAGATGCTTTCGCTGTCTGCTGTACTCCCTCTGTATGTCGGCATCAACACTCGCAGATTCAATCTGTGGAGATCAGAGAATGGGATAAGAAGAGTTGGTCAGAAATGCTACACTTGAGCCTAAGGGAGCCTATAACTGAGAGCAGTGGAACCTATCTGAGCCTAGTTGATTCCACTGCCCAGCAGATCCCATCAAATATGACTGGAACCTACTGAGCTCATCAGCGGATCTGAGTTCGACCCAGCTGAGCCCAGTAGGTACGAAAGGAATCCAGCTGAGGCCAGTGCTTAATGAATGGAGACAAGCTGAGCCCATTGCCTCTGACTGGACACCAGCTGAGCAAAGAGCATCTGCATGCAGCCCAGAGGATGTAAGCTGGACCCAGCTGAGCCCAGAGTATCTGTATGGAGAATAGATCTGATACTAGCAGAGCCTGGCGAGTGGTAAACCCTAGTGATGGAACCAGCTGGTCAGATCCGAGTCCCAATCAAATTCGAAAGACGGCGCATAAGGAGATTGGAAGTGAATATGGTCACAACATCAAGTTGACTTACTGTATCATCCTGAACGTGTTTGGCATACAACTGTTTGATGCTCTCCTTCAACTTCTTTGGCTCTTGGATGTATGCAACGCAGTTGTGCAGATCAGTCTTGAAACGGCGGCAGATTGCTTCAGTGTCCCGCACCTGGTATAAACAAGAGATGTCTTTGATTTGCAAGATTTTCATATGGCAGCCAAGTGAAAATCTATGCTTATTTGATCTCATGAACTATTTCAATAGTGATAGCACAGAAAATAATGGCAGGTTTATACACGTCTTCTGGAAAAACTTGTTGAGTTCCTTACCTTTTGTCTCTCCATGTACATCTCTTTCTCAGTGGCTTTGAGCTTCTGCCTCAGCTCTGTGATGTTCAACTCCAGCTGCGTGTTCTGCTTGTGGAATCGTTCCAGCTCACTCTCCATCTGTGGTTTGCAATACATGCGCTAATTACAAATTGAAAGCTTACACCAAACAAACTCGAAGTGAAGCAAATTTCATGACGCCCACTACTGCGCTTTCACTGTGATGTCTGCTGTGAGAACCAGCCTTCTATAACATTTCAGTAAGAGCCCGTCCTCCCCAGATCTCAGTACCAATCCCCTTTTCGTACCTCTTGAATCTGTTCTTTCATGGCCTTGATGTCATTCTCTCTAGGCTCAATCTGTTTCTTCAGTTCCTTGATCTTGTAGTCTAGGACAAACTTGAACTTCTCCAGCTCCTGGTTTTTCTTCTTCAGGTCGTAGATTCTCTTTTCCTACAAGGACAGGGGCAATTATGAAAACCATGAGCCAATATCCAATGTATGGGCCAGTTGTTATATTTCTAATTCTGTTTTTTTTCATGCCACATTACCACATATGCCTGATATTTTTTAAACTTTATGTAGAAACCACTAGTAAAGTTTAAATTCCACCCGACATCTGGCTTTGTTGTGAAAGTCATTTGAAGTTCATGGCCTCCAGCATGCTAGACTGTGTGCGTTGAGAACATCAACGCAAAGAATAAAGAGCTTTGGTTGACCCGTCATGGAAAAATGGGTGTTTGGTGAGAACAGCATGGCCGATTGTTACAAAATTGGTGTCACAATGACTGAAAGACATCACTGGAAAAATGTCTGAAGGCTCAGCGCCGGAAACAAAGATGCATTAAGGTGATATTGGACAAAATGTCTAGGCCCTTCTAGGTTTCAGATAACTTGGGAGATACAGGACAAGTACCCCCTAGATATCACAAATTCAGGTAGTAATGAAACACCCCTTCTCTAGCTGACTCACCTTATCTTGGATGGTCTCATCTCGCTCCTGGATCTCTTTCTTCAATCCGTAGATGTCCTTCTCCAGCGACTTGATGACCCCTTGCAGTTTGGTCTGTTCATTCTGAAGCTTCTTGATTTCATCTTTGTGGTCTTCAATCTCCTTTTGTAGGCTGGTGAACTGCGAGTGACAGGGAAAGAAAATGTGAAAACACTCTCCATTTGGGGTTAACACATGTAAAAATAAATGTTTGGTTCAAAGCTGGAACCTGCTTGAGAACTGTCCTAACCAACTGCCTTGAAATTACTGAACAACAGCCTTCAAGCAAGGCTACCTTTGCAAAGTTGCTTAACAGAGGTTTGTGTGGTAGCCTTCTTGCAGGACAGTTCTTTTGTTCTACAGGGAAATTAGCTCCTTTGTCCATACCCTGTGGAACAAAAGCTCTAGCTGGCCTGCAAGATGGCAGCCATGCAAACTCTCTATAGTAAAGCAGAAAGCTCATGCTAACAGGGAGTCCATTTCCCAGGCTACTGTGTTACACATGCATGTGGCTGGAGATTCCTATTGCCGTGCCTTGCTATTACTGTACGTGAATTAATGATTCTAAACTGATGCGCTTTGTACATCAATCATTGCTTTAGATTTCAAATCATATTACAAAGGTATGCCTTCAGAAAAACCAACCGTCAAACCATGCTTAAACTTGCCATGGGCTCAGGCCCTGGCCACAATTTCACAGATCTGCTGAGCTAAACGCATTCTTTAGCAAACCTATGTGCTTTACAACAGAGCTATTTCTAGGGCTTCAAATATTTCTTTTCGGCAACTTTGTGAAACGTCAACGAGCAGAAACTCCAATATTGACTCACCTTCTTCCTCATGATTCCTGTCTCTCCTTTCAGTCTCATGTTGGCCTCCTTCTCGTCTCTCAATCGTCTCTCGTACTTGTTCTTGATGTCCAGGATCTCCCGGTCTGCATCTTCTTCGATCTGTTTCTTGGTCTCCTCGTATTCTCGCATCTGCTGCCTGGACTCATCATGGGCCTAAAAGGAAAATATTGGAGATCCGTAACACCTTTGTATTTTTAAAGATGTCAACAAGCAGTATCATATTTGGGGTGTGGTGAAAATACGTACCGCAATATCAATTTCCTAATACAAAAACGTTTGAACCTCCTACTGTGGAGCTTTAGTCTATCGTCAACCATCCTCAGCCTCCCTTGACTCAACCCTACTCTACAGCTATCCAGCTCTAACCCTTCTAGCCAGCTGCATAGTCTTCTGCATAGTACACTAAATCAAACAACCACTCCTGAACCATCTACCCAGCCACCCTAGACTCACCCCTACCCTACAGTCACGTTCCTACCCTCCTAAGACAGCTGTACCAAACCTGATCCAGCAGACGAGTCTTCTCCTGCAACTGGTCCCAATCAATCAACTTCCCTACCACCTACCAGCCCAGCCACCCTAGACTCACCCCTACCCTACAGTCAAGCTACCCCTCCAAGTCAGCTCCATTAATCCTACCTGATCCAGCAGTGTTGTCTTTTCCTGCAGCTTGGTCTCATAGTACTCCGTCAGCTCCTCCAGGGCCTGTTCTTTGGACTCTTCTGTCTCGGCTAGCTGCCGTTCATAGTCCTCCTGCATCTTTTGGCTCTTGGACTGTAGCTCCTGATACTTCTCGTACTCAATCATAAGTTTCTGATTGTTGGCCGATTCTAAAGGAAAGAAAGAAAGGAAAAATTACTCGGTTACATGTACAAAACAGAGGCAAGACTCTAGATCAAGTTTTTTAATGGGGTAAAATGGTTGAATTTCAGTGAATAGCAAACCTTTCTCTCAATTATTGGAAAAGATAACAAAGTTTGGAAATATTCAAATTTAGAAACAAGGTTGCAGGTTTTAAAGCCTTTTTCTTTGGAGAAGGGAATCTTCTTATTTTACCTTAGGGTAGAGTATGCTTAACTGAAAAACAAGGAACTTATTCGAAAGCTGGCTTGGAAAGTACTGTTGGGAAATTTGCTGCCATGCTTGCCTCTGAACGTGAGGGATTTCAGAGGGTAATGGGGTAAGCTGGCTCACCGAGATCTTGCAGCTCCTTGTTCTGTTTCTCCAGCTGTTCGGCCATCTCTTCCTCATGCCGTGCCTCCTCCTTGTCCTTTTCCGTCTTGAGGACCTGGTTCTTGGTCTTAAGTGACTCCATCTCCTGGATGAACTTCTCTGTCAGCTCCTTGATGCGCTCGTTGTAGTTCATGTCCTTCAGCCGTAGCTGGTATTCATTCTCCATCTTCAGCTCCTCCACCCGCTGCTTCAGCTCTGCCATGACAGTGTTCTGCCATGGTAGAAAGCAAGGGAATGTCCGTTATTAATGAGAAAAAATCCCTGAGGTAAGATTCGAACCCACAACCACTTTAATGACTAGTCAGTGACAGTAGTCAACTTCAGAGACATTACACCAAACAGTTCTAACTTTTCAAACAGTTGGAGGATTCAGGAATATTACCTTTGAAACTGACAAACATTTTGAATGATTTTGTTTTAAAGTTGGTGGTTAGAGGTATCAAGATGATGAAATATTTATTACTCAACTGGATAAAATGTTCATGACTTTTGCTTATTTAGTCACACAGTGCTGAATGAAATTGGCTTGTAAAACTTCATGGGAACATCTACTATTCCCGGAGGAAAATAAACACAATGAACAGAGAATGCTTAACCGTAAAACCGTACAAATGTTTCCATTTTGGAGCATCATCAATAACGTCCTTTTTTGCAGTGACGACAGCTACTCACCTTTTCCTCCAAATCAGACTTGGTGATGAGTATTTCCTCGGCGTATCCCACCTCCTTGTCTCGCTTCAAGCCCCGCCCTTCCTTGTCGCTGATCTTCCAGATCATGAGGGTGGCATCCTCAGACACAGTGACCAGATACTGGTCGTCGTAGGTGATCCGCATCTACAAGCCCACCACAAAAACATTTCAATGAAACTGTTTCTTACAAAAGACACAATTATCTATCCACTGTTTTTAGAGACCTCTAAAATGCCCCCAGAATGTTTCAATTTTCTCCAGTTTAAACGCAAACAATTGTTTCTACACCATGAGAATAAGTGTTTACTTCAGTGGAATATAAATTTGCAGGCTTTTAATTGTTTTGAGTTTTCCCACATCTCAACTCATTTCACAGGTTGACAGTGTAATTTTTACATCTAGAGTTTTGAAAGGGTAAAGCCGAATTATAATGATCAGTGAAAGTTATACCTACTACCAACATTCAAAAGGGACATGAATTTTTCTTAAAGCGAAAAGTCCTACGACAGATGAGCACAAAGTTTCAGAACTCAAAACAAATGTAAAGTATACAGTCAAACCTCGTTACTAAGACACTATTAACGCAACATCCTGCTTAGATAACAAGGCAATGTTTAGATTGCAGTCCCTTTGTTCTTCATTGTTTTAATTTCTGAAAATACAGGTACAAGATTCCTGTTCTAACAAGGTGACCTGTAAAGTCTGAATGACCTTGATTGTAAGGTTCTTCTGTTTTAATATTTGTGTCAGTTTATTAATGATCAGTCGATTCAAAGCATGCGCACGACAGACAGTCACTGCCCTGGAAAATAACTTCAAGCAAGAAAATTTCAGTACCTTGGTAACCCCTGACGCATGGCCCATGTGCTCCTGCCATTCACCGGGCACTGTTAGGGGGAACTTGAGGGATCGAAGGGTGCCGTTGTTGGTTCCGGCGAACAGCATGCGGCCGCTGTGGGACATAGAAACCTGGGTGAGTGTGATGTCCTGGGAGTCAACGTCACGCAGGATCTGAGGAAATTGAGAAGAATAACAAATTATAGGAAATATTGGGCTTGACACAGGTTTTTGTGGAATGACTGCCTGCCTACATAGCTGCAAAAGTCTACATTCCCAAGTTAAAAAAGAAAATTCCGGAGACAAACTATTTATGAACAATAGGATATTCCATTATTATAACTTTTTTCAATCAAATTGTAGCTCCCTCCTTTCCAATTCTTTTTCTCCAATCCCATTAAAATGCACATTTTGAGGATTTTCCCTCAATTTCTTACAATTTCCTGGAAACTGAAACACCTCTAATCCGACCTTGATGTAATCTGCAACTAGACAAGGTGTAAGAATCCTGCAGAGATAAACATTGTTGACTCACATGGATATCCATCCACAATGGACTCATGAGGTGACACATTTGCGATGCACCTAAGTTCACATCCTTAAGCAAAATCCACAAATCACTTTTACTTCTTGGTACCTTTTTTAATTACAAAAATGGAGAGGCTTCCCCAAATAGCCAAACACCGACAGGAAACAGTTTGTTGATGTGTACACATACCTGAGAATCAGAGATTTCCTTGAGGGTGCGATCTGAGCCGACGGCAAACGTCGTCTTGCCGTCCGGGGTGGACGTTACGCACGTGTAGCTGCAGGACTTCAGGACACTCTCCCCCTCACGTTTGCCAGAGTAGGCGTTCCACTCATAAACTGCACCATCCATTCCACAAGAGATGATTTTACTGTCATCAGCACTCCATACCACTGATCGAACCTAATCAAACAAAGATAAAAAAATCACTAAATTAACATCCATTGACACTTGTTTCTGATAAGACTTGGGAGGACTGGTTACAAGCAAAGTAATGAACATCTGTGGCTATAAAAGCTAGCGGCTGCAGCCACTTTCCATAGACACATGTGATAACGTCAGCCACAGCCAGGATTTTTGGACACAGCCAAAGTCAGCAAAGACTACTTAAAGGTAGCCAGGCTACCTCATCAAACATTCTCCCAGTGGCTTTTTGTGTGTGTCTCCTTATGTACCATGTAGCCGTACAGTTAGCCACTGACCTTTCCATTGTGACCTTTCAAGTTGTTGACGTTCTCAAAGGTGGTTGAGGAGTAGATCTGTATGACGTTGCCGTGAACAGCAGCAAACACGTGCCCTCCGTTGCTGAAGGAACACTACAGGAAGCAAGGATGAAAACAAGTGAAAGCATGGGGTTCTACTTCTGATCACAAGAAACAACCAAAACGTCAAAACCTAGGTGATGTCCTTTCTGAAGAAAGGTAAAATGAAGAAAGATGGCAGAAACAGGGGAGCACTTAAATAGAAACGGACATATCTCTGGTAATTGAGCAAAAAACAACAGTAAGGGGCCAAGGGGACGCTTGGGTTATTTTTGGGGGGCCTTCGCGCAAGTATTTACCTCCCGACAGCCGCGGATGGTAAACTCCTTGAACGTGCGTATGTCATCAATGAGTAGGTTCATGAGTCGTAGCTTGTCGCTGAAGCCCACCAGGACGTAGAGACCAGAGGGATGCAGAGCGATGCTGTAAGCTTCCTCCTGGAACTCTTTGTGCAGCTCCAAGGTCCTGGAGAGGAAGTGGAGAAGATCTTATTTCAACAAAACTTACGGTAAAATATTGAATTTACATTACCAAAACTATCAATAACTTTCCTTGGAAAGAAATAATGGCCAAATTTGACGCTTACGTTGTCTCATAGTTCCAGATGCGGACTGTTCGATCGATTGAGCATGTGGCAATGAGCGGTTTCCTACAGCACACGTCCAGACCAGTGATCATGTTGTAGTGAAAAGGTTGTGCCAAGAGTTCAAAGGTCGCTAAGTCCCCTTGCTGTGAGAGAACAAACCATCTCAAGGCATAAAAATATTGATTTTTATCATGTGTTAATACACACAGGCATTAATAATTATCATGTTTGTGAACATACATGTATATTCTTGGAATTGGAACGAAACAAAACTTTAACTTTTGTCGTTTATGGACACTGTGGCATATCTGTGCATCCAAGCTTCAGCATAAGTTTCAAGATCTCTTGCCTAAATATGATTACCCACAGGCAAAGTGCCCTTCTTGGATTTCCATGAATAAGTGAACAAGAGAAAGAGAGTTTTTAAATGAAGCAAAGATTTTAGCTGACAAACTGTGTACATGTACCCATCGAGTTGACAAATTGTGTGCTGACACCATTAAGTTTGAACGAGTTGTAGCATCTTCAAGTGGGCACCGATTAAGTGCATATTATGACACTGGTCACCGGTGAAGGGTACATAACTGTTCATTCAAAAGGTTTACACAGAAATTCACCCTGATTAATGTCTCACCTTGCCCAGGTCAGCACTGGACATTGCCATGCAGTACAGCTGGTTGGTAGTCGTACTGGCTACCAGCGTCTCCTCGGAAGGACTGACTGTCAGCATCTTGATCTCATGGGCCTCGGCTCTGGATGGATCCCCACCAAGGACATCGTGTGGAATCTACAATTTCAAAAAAATAAAGGCCCAGAAATATATGAACACAATAAATTAACTTCAAAGGGGAACTGTCTAGGTTTGCTGTGGATAGCACCTTTCACTTGAATGAAGGAAACTGAGTTGGATGTGAATTTCCAAACTCTGAAATACGTACACTTGCGCTAAAACAACTTCGCAGTTTCTCCTTACTACTTTGATTGAATGATAAGTCACAATTGGTTTGGCATTTTTTTCATTTCCAACAACATGACTTTATTGGTATATTTAACAAAGCCAAGCACATGTTGGACTAAAAGTGATGATTTGTCACGAATTTTACCAGCAGCAAAGGCAGTACACACCTTGATCTCCCTGGTCTTCTTGTAGAAATCTTTATCCTCGGTCTTCTCGTACAGATGGACGATTCCCTTGCCACCTGAGCAGGCAAAGCCTTTGGAGTAAGCAACGATGGCCCCCACCATGGGTGGGCCAGAACTGGGCACCTCCGACTCAGCAATGCTGCCCATGGCACTCCTGTGAATCCAAACAAATGGGATGTTTTTTGGATCAGCAATTTGGTCCTCAGTGCAATTGGCATGGAGGCCTGTGATTAAGGGTGGATCATGGGTGGGGGGCAAGAAGGCAACTTTTTTGTCCAGAATTTTTCAGGATTTCCCCTATCGCGGGAATCCTATTGCATTCCCAACATGAAACTGGAGTGCCTTTCAACCATTGTCACTTTCAGGCTGCCCTCTATGCATCACATGACACTTGGGCTCGTATTCCTTCCAATTTGACCATTTCTGAACACAGCTGGACAAGTTATCTCGCTCATATACATTTGCTCAGCAGCTCCCAGCTTGGGGTGTTTAAAAAATGGGCTCACGGAAACTACGTCTTTGCGCTCACCTCTCTGCATCTTTGCTCTGAGATGAGACCACAACTGCCAGCTCATTCTTCAGCTCCCCGGCCTCAAACAGCAGGAGCTTGGCATTGTCTGTGCCCACGATGACCCTCTCATCTGACACCCAGGTGTGGGACAGGTAGTTCTGGGGCTCCATCTTCTGGAAGGCAAACTGCTTCAGGTTGCCTTCGCTGTAACGGTACAGCTTGAAAATGCCATTGCCCACGACGCACAGCTGCGTGTTGTCTTGAGGGTTGAATGATACCTTTATATGGGAATAGAATGATACCTAGATATAATGTGGGGATACCTATATCATGGGGATATAATGATACCTAGATATAATGGGGATATAATGATACCTAGATATAATGGGGATATAATGATACCT